TTCGTCCGTAGTTTATTAATAGGTACGATAAAATTATACGATGATAGTAAAAAAATAAACGAATTACATACGTTGGAATATACATTGGTTATGTTTCTTTAAATATTGTTTGATTTTTTATCCTAGTCTCCAGTGCATAACTTCAAAAAGTGGTCCGTGTTTTTAATTATCAAATGAGGTTTTGTAAATCAATCTCTGTTGAACAATAAATGTTATACACTTCACTCTTTACATTTACACTATTTGCATACTTTGTACGTGATTGAAATATCATTTTGATTCTGCCGTGATTTAAATTACGTGCTTCAATTCAATATAACAGTGCATGCTCGATGTATAAGTAGTGTATGAGTATGTAATAGTGTAATTAATGTGATATGACTACGTTTATATTATAAGACTCGATCGTACGTTTTTATAATTAATTTACAAAATTTCTATCTAAAGTTGGCATAGCAGTCTATGGCGATTAGTTTTTTTTTCTGGAATTCGTTCAGACCTCATGCGGACCGGTTACCGGAGGTTACCGCGCCTGGGGGCCTTGCGGGGGTACGTGGGTCTTACCGGTCCGCAGATGTGTAGAGCGGACCGCGAACTTTAGGTTGTTTTAAGGTCCCTACCCACGAAATGACTGCCCTCACCTCACCCGATGTCCAATCCCCACCCGAGGTCAGAACCCGGGCTGAGTAAGGGTTTCCCCGGTTAACACTTGTGACGCCATCCCGAGGAGGGATCGTCGAGGCGATTGTCGGCGACCAACGATGTCGGTCTCCGAGGTACAGCGTTTCAGTAATACAACGTTTGTTTTGGACTGCAAGTGCCATACTGTTTCACCCGCCTTAAATTTGCTAGTCAACAGAAATAGAACGACTCATATTATTTCTTTTGATTTTCGAAATGCATTATTTTTTTTCATCAAATTACCACAAACTTGTTGGTCACACCACACACCCTGGTTGTTTCTGAGCTTTTTTTTCCTTCCTATGCTGATAGCCTTGAGAGGCTATTTTAGCTTCTTGACGTGTAGGTGAGCTCACGGGGCTAAACCGGGAGTGTTGCTAACACTGACCCTAGCAAGAGCAGAATCTACCACCGAATAGGAAACGCGACCTACCGAAATGAACCGGGTAAAATAAACGAACAAATAAACAAACATTTATTTTGATTCTAAGATTCTAAGAAACTCTTGGAAATCAAGATAAAGAATAAAACGCCCTGCGTGTGTATCGTGTAAGGCGACATCTACAACGGACATCGACAACGTAAATGCGCCACCCACTTTGAGATATAAGTTCTAAGGTCTCAGTATAGTTACAACGGCTGCCCCACCCTTCAAACCGAAACGCATTACTGCTTCACGGCAGAAATAGGCAGGGTGGTGGTACCTACCCGTGCGGACTCACAAGAGGTCCTACCACCAGTAAAAAATGGTCATGGGATCCGTTTTGAAAGTTGGGATAGTCGTTATACTATACAATTTGTCTGTCTTTCAATTTACTTGTCCAAGTCTCGATATAAATTGGAAAAAGTTCTATTCTAGCACAGACGGTGATCTCAAGGAAAAAAAAAAGTTAATTCATGTAGGTACAAATATACATATTTTGAAATAAAATACGACAGACAATAACACAATAATGCATCTGGGATAGCCGTTTTATTTCGATGTGTTATTAAGCAATCGTTGACTATCTGTTTGATATTGTCAATCGATAGATAACAAGGTTCCATAGTAAGTATGTGCGTACTATCGTGATACTCTTCAATTTATCCAATTGACTGATGCATCTTTGTTACGCTATTTTATTACGCAAGATTGACCGAATAGATCTCGACTAGAATGTATGTATACATACTTCATCACTTAAGAATCGTTACGTTGTATATATTTTCGTTTTATCGGTTGCAGTAGGTGCAAAGTGGTTTTTTCATTACACGCTTTTTTGTCGCACTAACTATACTGAGACCTTAGAACTTATATCTCAAGGTGGGTGGCGCATTTACGTTGTAGATGTCTATGGGATCCAGTACCCACTTAACACCAGGTGGACTGTGAGCTCGTCCACCCAACTAAGCTATAAAAAAAAATGATATAATAATATGTCAGATTTATGTTAAGCGATATTAAAATTAAAAATAATAAAAATGTATTCAGTGTAAAAAACCCTGCTTTACTATAGGCAAAGACAGACAAGCACATGGATCAGCTAACGATATGCGGTGAATGAACATCAATCAGCATACGCAGAACTTTTATCTTTATGGGCTTAACCAAGCGGCTGCCAAGCCCATACAAAGAATCTGAATAATCTCGATATATAAAAAAGATCTATATTAAATTTATAAATTAAATAACTCACTGGCATCACCCGGAAATCGGCAAGGAAAGGTGTCAATGACCTATCCCGTAGGAACGAAATGCTTTTTTTTTTCGGGATAAAGCGTAGCCTATGTAGTGACGTCACGAGAGTGCTCCTGACCTAAAACGATCACTTAAAACGTATGAAGTCAATCCGTTGCTTCGTTTCGACACGTAAGAAAGACAAACAAACAAAGACACTTTCACACTCATAATATTAGTGCAGTGTTGCGACCGCAGCTCATAGAATAAAAATTGTTATAATTGTAATTTTGTTGTTATCAGCCAAATCCTTTTGTTGCTTTGTCTTTTTCTTATCATTTACCAACACAACGTACACGAAAAACACCTGCATCAATATAAGCTTACATAATAACGATAACCTAAAAGTCGGCAAGTCAATGGAACAAACTGTTATTTTTATTATGTACTAGCGACCCACCCTCGTTTCGCTTCGGAAACATTAAATTTTATTATTGATAGCTGAATCCCGCGATGCTACCCGCGGTTAATGTCGTACCGCGGATGACGCCGCGGGACGAATCTAGTCTAGAAAAAAGTAGCCTAAGTTACTCCTTATATCATCAGCTACCTGTCAGTGAAAGTCCCGTTAAAATTGGTCCAGCCGTTCCAGAGATTAGCCGGAACAAACAGACAGACAGACAAGCAGACAAAAATTGTAATAAATGTCATTTTGGTGTATGTGCCGTATATATATTCATATGCATGTAGTAAAAAGCGGCTATTTCAATATTACAAACAGACACACCAATTTTATTTATATGTATAGATTAGTAGATAAGCAGACGAAGTGACGGTCTTAACTGTTGTTAAGTAAATAACGCAGTCAACTGTGAATCATGCTTTCGAAGTCCCAACTCTCATTTTATTTGCATTTCCAAAATAACGATCAAAAATGATCATATTGAGTATGGGTAAGGAAACAATCGGTGTTATTAATATGCGTACTAGCTTAATTAAAGAAACAGCCCTCATAATAGTACAATCATGTAATTTGCTTCCATGAATTTACTGGTTTACATTTACTGGTGGTAGGACCTCTTGTGAGTCCGCACGGGTAGGTACCACCGCCCCGCCTATTTCTGCCGTGAAGCAGTAATGCGTTTCGGTTTGAAGGGTGGGGCAGCCGTTGTAACTATAATGAGACCTTAGAACTATATCTCAAGGTGTGTGACGCATTTACGTTGTAGATGTCTATGGGCTCCAGTAACCACTTAACACCAGGTGGGCTGTGAGCTCGTCCACACATCTAAGCAATAAAAAAAATAAAAAAAATGAATTAATTCTGGATTTAATTTCGTAAATTAAATTCAGAGTGCATTGAAGTAATGTAACGTGAAGACACTTAACAACTGCAATCCATCGCATTTCTTCGAGATCGTCCAAGCAGCGTGCACCATTTGTTTTTTTTTATCGTCGTACAATGCGCGCAATAGGTCCAAAACAAATTATGAAACTTCATTCCTTAGTAATATTGTGTTATATCATTAGCACTTACCACTTGTTCTGCCTGTTTTTATTTACAGTTACGTTTCTAATGAAACTTGCCCAAGTTAAAACAAAAACAACTCGAATTAGAATTGGAATAATATACAAAAAAAAAACTCTTGAGTACCTACACGAGCTTTTTAGTATTATCATCTATAAAAAATATTGGAAACAGTTTTTTTTCAATGATCTCACATGGTTATCCACATTACCACGTGAGATCATTCTTCCTATTATGAGATAGATTGATTTCATGTGGCGTTGAGTCCTGTGTTGTAAGCACACACATGTATACGAATACAAAAAAAAATGGTTAATTTTTTTTTTTTCATATTAAATTTTGTAAGAGACAATGAAGATTCAATCTGAACGGTCATAGTATAATTTCGATAATATTTTAAATCACCTGTAATAGATTCGTGTGTCAGTCTGTGTTGTGTGTGATATTGTGTTTTGTGAAAGACTAAACGATGAGTTGTTTGAATTGTTGACACAAGTACGGGTACATACGTACATAGTTAAAGTGAGCGACTAATTGTATTGTGGTGTCGTCATCGGTATCGTTATGCCATAACTGTGTTTACGACAACAACGTACCATCATTTGCGAATTTTTTAGCGACATAATCTTATTCGGACTGTAAGGAAAACGATATAAATATAATTGACGATCTGAGAGTGAGAGATAATTGTATGTTGGTATTATTAAGAAGAAATTCGCGTTGAGGTTTATAGTCGGTACAAATATTGCCTTCTCCGCCCGTGGTAAAAGGCTTTGTTGATTTTCCTTTTATATTAAAGTAGATTATATATATATATCTCGTATCAGTCGCGTAGTTCTCAGAAAATTGGAGATTATTTATTTCAAGATAAATATTATCATTATAACATTCCGTTAGTATGTTGATATATACATATATATAAAACAACAGGTTCCGAAAATAGACATAGTCTTGAAAAGAACCGGCGAAACAAACTCAGTTGGCTAGGCTTATCATATTACAATTTCAAGTGGAAACTTACAATTCAGAGATGGTTGCCAATAGAAAGCTTAATTATGTATTTAAATATTTTTATGTTATATTTATTTATATTAACACAACTTATGCCTGAAAAACACATTTTATCATTAACAGGATAGCTCAGCCAATATTTCTTGGTTGGTTGGTGGAATATTACAGCCCCGACAGTAAAATGACGCCCTCGGACGCATATCTCTGCGCTGCGGCAGTCGTAGTATGCTCAGCTCTTAATGTATTCGTCATGCATCCATATATGATGGCCATATTACACATGGGAATGAAGTTCAGGGTCGCCTGCTGCTCGCTCATCTACAGAAAGGTAATTATGAGAGTTTCTGTACAAAACATCAATATGGTAATCGATTCCCGGCGGCAATTCCTACCGCGAATTAATCACGCGTCCAGTACGAAGTAGGGCAGCTGTTGTATTGAAACAATTATGACTTCAGGCTCATGCCTCAATGCGCGCAGCAGCATTCATGTTTCATCTACAGGCTTCGGCTACCGCTCTAACATTAGACCTAGAACTTGTCTTGTACTGAAAGTTGTCGCTGTAAAGTTGAAATGTATAAATCTGTTCAGAAGGAAGTAAGCCTTTAGGTCTTTCGGCAGAGAGATAGTGATGAAGATAAATAGACATAAGTCAATGGTATTCCGCTATCATTCCGCATATGTAGGCAAGTGAAACAGTGCTATTTATTTTATATAAACCTTTATTTAAAATACTAATCAGATAATTGTAAAATTAATTTCGATGCCATTTTCAAATTGTACTTTGAAAAATAAACTTTGTAATAGGTACAAAAAAAAAACTAAAGAAAAATCTATTAACAATACTTCTGTGTTTACAGAAACGGTTACACTCATTTAGAACTAATTGTTAAAGTAAATTGTTAGAAATTTAGTACATATTATTTCGATTATACTTGTTTAAAATCTGTATAATAGTGTTAATAATGTATAGTAATTAGGTTAGACTAATTGTTATCATCTCTCATTGTTATTGAGTTTATTAAAGCACAGTTCTATTAGATAACGCATCGTGAATGTTACAGTCAGCTTAATACAGAAATGCTGTGGTAAACATAAAATGGAAAATACTATTTAAATGACAAATTCAATTGTGTCATTCTCACGACCGGATAGCTGAAATAATATGTCTGTATTCTGCATTTGGCTACTCCCTGATCACCACTATTTTCCTCATTCGAACGTATCGATTCTGGAATGAGTTATCTGACGATTTTCAAAATTAGTATTCAGTGCTATATTTTTTTTTTATTGCTTAGATGGGTGGACGAGCTCACAGCCCACCTGGTGTTAAGTGGTTACTGGAGCCAATAGACATCTATAACGTAAATGCGCCACCCTCCTTGAGATATAAGTTCTAAGATCTCAGTATAGTTACAACGGCTGCCCTACCCTTCAGACCGAAACGCATTACTACTTCACGGCAGAAATAGGCAGGGCGGTGGTACCTACCCGCGCGGAGTCACAAGAGGTCCTATCACCAGTAACGATTATATATTGTATGTATATGACAGGACTACCTCTGAAATCGTGTTAAGCAAGCTGTAGAGTTTTTTTATTCTTATTTTATTTGTTGTATATTTATAGTATTTCTAGAATTATCTTCGGTTTCCGCGACTCGTCGATAAAAACACAAAAACACAGTATTTAAAACTTCGAAAACAATATAAGGATAATCCTTATATTGTTTTCGAAGTTTTAAATACTAAAAACAAGACATTAAACCGTAAAAGTGGTTCTAATTAGTATATCTAGTTTTATTTGTCACTTTTAGCATTCAGGACACTAAAAATAAATACATTCTCATTTAAATTGCACGACAAAGGAACATTAGCGCAATATCTAATAAATAGTATTTCTTGGTCCATTTACATCCGTTTAGGATATAAGGAAAACGTAAACATAGATGTATATATATTATATTACATACAAGACTATAAATTTTACTATCAATTAATCATATAACTTTATAGAGTCATCAATCGTGTATTTCAAAAAACTAATAATGTTAGGAACATAAATATAAAATAGAATGCAATAAAAATTTAAAATAAATCGCTCAGGCAGTAACGTACGTGTCTATAGTTATATGGGTCACTTCCGTTGAAAGATAACGTATAATATATTATTATATAAGGTAAATGCAAAACGTTTCTTGCCGTATGGTAAGATGTGTTAACCTTCAAACTTCCACTAGACTGCACACAGTAAACGGATCTCATCATTTGTTTTAAGTCAACAAAAAAGGTTCGCACGATGACGTAATTGGGAATTTAATATAAGGTATATCAAATTCCCAAATACGTCGTAAAAATGAACATAAAAATGCGATTGCTACAAATTTTATTAATGAGTTTTAAAAATTCAATCAATCAATGGTTCAAACCAATAAAATCACAAAAACTGTGATTTTTTTTTGTTAAATATCTCAGGCATAAAGGCAACTCAGATCATGATTCCGATATTGAAGCCAAAGACTAAATTCTCAGTTGTGAAACGAAAGTACTTACACTTTTTATACGTCCTGGCGCGTACTTATAATTGCTTCTTATAACATTACCGGATAATTTAGCGGGTAGGCGTAGTGTTAATTAAAACATTGCTCAATGAATAACGTAATTAGAAATTCTATAGGTATTTATAAATAAAAAGGGTTCTAAAAGTTCTGAGATGCTTAAAGTGTTTGTGTTAGGATTCATAGAATGCTCTGTCTCTTTCTTACAAATCTTAAGTATAGAGTCTTTGCAATAGAACAACGACGTCATTGTTCGAAGTAGGACGCACTTTGTCTAGCATGAAATGAAGACTTATAAATTCTTTCTGAACGGGTATATATTTTGTTTTTGCCGGCTGTATTTATAGATAACATTTTTATGGTGAAATAAAAAAAAACAAGCAGATTCATTAATAAAATATTATTGTTTCAAAAACCAGTCTCTGCGATTATCGAAGACCGCTCTCGGCGAGACGACAATCGGTCAAGTCGTCAACCTGTTGTCGAACGACGTGAATCGTTTCGACGTCGCGGTGATATTCATCCACTATCTATGGATCGGGCCGCTGGTCACCGTGATCATCACATACTTTATGTGGCTGGAGATCAACTGGGCCGCGGTGGTCGGAGTAGCTTTCATGCTGGCATTCATACCGCTGCAAGGTTAGTCAAGCAACATAATAGAGTACTTTTAAATCTATTAATTGGAAATGTATTATATCTATATTCCCATTATTATTTTCTTCCCACAGACGTCCACTGCTAGACATAGGCCTATTCCTTTTGAAATCTTTGTAAATAGGATCTTTGCGGTAGGCAGCGGCTCGACTCTGCCCCTGGCATTGCTGAAGTCCATGGGCGACGGTAACCACTCACCATCAGGTGGGCCGTATGCTCGTCTGCCTACAAGGGCAATAATAAAAAAATAGGCGTTTTTTGTTTCGTTTGTATCTTTATTTCATTGCCTCGGTAGGCAGATGAGCATTCGGCCCATCTGATAGTCAATGGTTACCGTTGCTCGTGACCATCGTCAATCCAAGGAGCGCTGCCAACCTACCGCTGAGTTTCACAAACCTCATATGAATAAGGATGACATGTCATTTTCTATTAAGTTAAATGTCATCGAAAATATACGAGAGTACTTTAACCTTTAGGACTAGCTTTTCGCCTCGGTCTTGATTAATAAAACATTTTATACGTCCTAAAAAGCCCATACTTATACAACAAGATTATTAATGCAAAAGAAAATTAATTTAGAAATCACTGACAATCGAAAACCTTCGATATACTAATGAGCAGTGCCGAAGTCAATATAAAATGAAAAAATACGATTGATTATTTACTTTAGTTTCGGGTTCTTCATAATTAAAAAACAATTTTTACTGTATAATCTCGCGTTTTTTTTTAATTTGTGATTATATTTCGAAAACTTTACAACTTACGTGGTCATAGACGACGTAGGAAATAATATAATGTGACCATAACTATAATAAAAAAAAGGTGATGTTAAAAAAGTAATATAAAAGTAAACTGGTTATGAATGAATATTTTAATTTTTTGTAAAACAATACATACTTTGTAATACACCTAGTTTTGTAAATAGTACCATAATAATATATGTTTGATTTAACTTATATTATTATTATATATATTCCTGAAGTTGTTTGTACTTTGTCATTCAACACTTATCAATGTATAGAAAAAAAATAGCATAATAAGTGACTTTGTTTATTGAAAAAATTTGCGGTGTCAATGTTTTATACGTAGATAAATAATTGACTGTCCGTTTACGCTCAGATATCTATTGCGACCTTTGAAACTGCGATTTAAATACTATTAGTTTTAATCTACTTTCGGTGTCTTCTCGTTATACTAATGAACTCGACACGTAATGGTAGTTTCATTTGAGATTTTCGTTCAACAATTTGTGACGGTAGCCATACTACAACACAAGACGCACCACATATGACGTCACACGTAATGAATTATCTCCCCTCGAGTTCTGTGTAGTATGTGTGTTAATTTTGAAAATTATGAGGCGTCCGGTTCTATATTCTCAACTAAGTAACATTATGATAAAAAACATTTTGACAATTTCGATGCCTCCAATGAACACTCCTCTAACTCCAAATTCGTAGGTTTACAGGAGGAGAGTTTAAACGAAAAAAGTTGATAAATATATCTGCAATAATAAAGATTTTATGGTTTTTTCTTGTGTAGCTAGCTGATTTACTCTTGCTTCGAACCCCATTAATAATGAATTTGTAATACTTTTAAAATAGTGAAACGATTTGCGTGAAAAACGAAAATTTCAAAATTTTGAGTTAGAGTTGTGTTCATTAGAGGCATCGATTTACACAAGCAAAGCGCCGATAGTTATCAATGCACGTTTAATGATAAGGTTAAAACGTGTGTGAATGTGCTATGCTAATAAAATCGCTGCACTTTGAACTATCTGCACTCGGCTTAAGCGATGAGATATTTTCTTGTTCAGATTATTGAACTCGCGGTACCTACTTTGTTTGTTTTTGTTGTTGTTTTTTTTTAGTTTGTAATTAACCTGGACTTTACTTTTCCACATCTACAGCTTACTTGGGAAAAAAGACTTCGGTTTTGAGACTAAAAACGGCATTAAGGACCGACGAACGTGTCCGACTTATGAATGAAATTCTATCCGGTATTCAAGTCATCAAGATGTACACTTGGGAGAAACCTTTCGCTGACCTCGTCGCCAAAGCTAGGAAGTGAGTTAACATAAATTATATTTTCAAATGCCACATCAATTGTTTTCTATAGTGATGAATTATGAATTCGGATTTAGCATGCATGTATGTGTTTGATATGATAACGGGTAAACATATTATCGAGGGGAAAGGTTATTTGGATTAAGTGACATTTTTGCAACTTTACAGGAGGGCTATTTACTGTTTAATCAATTCATTAAATGTTAAATGAAGTTTAGCTTCGAATTGTTGATACTAATAACAAATAAAACGAACCTTTGATTATAAAGATAAATGTCGCGTATTAAGTAAAATGTCTTACCCGATCCTGCGGACAGAATGGAAAGCAGTCGACGTCGCCCCAAACACGTCATTTCGGATCTTCCCGATCCACTAACGGTGCTTTTAGGTACCTCAAGCACCGGTCATCGTTCTCGTCGAACCCGTCGCTTGTGACGAAGGGCTCTACGAGAAAATTAACCCTCAGACACAGCCCACTGAGTTTCTCGCCGGATCTTCTCAGTGGGTCGCGTTTTGGATCCGGTGGTAGATTCTGCGAAGCACGGCTCTTGTTAGGGTTCGTGTTAGCAACGTCGTCTGGTTTGAGCCCCGTGAGCTCACCTACTAGTTAAGGTTCCGCTGATATAGCCTCACAAGGCTATCAGCTTACGTAAGAAAAAAAAAGTAAATCGTCGGTTAAGCCAAACAACCCTTCACCCCTCGATATGAATACCGCTGTTCATTTCTAGATTACAATGTCGAATTCTCAATTGCATTGCATGGTTTCTATGCGGAAATAATAGACTGGAATGTTGTGACGAATTAAACAAAACTGAACATCGCAGAAGTTTGATTATCGATTTCTTGTATAACAGCATCTGATATATTTATAGTATCGAACGACTCTTAATTAAAGTTGTAACTGTCTGCGATCACGGACAGCGCGCTATCGTCATATGTAAACAAATCAATAAGATAACTATGGTCACTTATATAGTTGTGTAATGCATGTAGTTATGATTGTTTAGCTTAGAAAATGTAATATGATTTTTGAAGATGGAAAGCCTAGATCGAGCAGGCCTGCTTCTAAAGTTTGTTGCTGGCAGGGCGTCTGTGTGCGCATAGATAAGTACCACGGCCTTGCCTATTTGTGGCGTGAAGCAGTGATGCGTTAAGGGTGAAGGTCACCGTCCGAACTAACCCATAGAGACAGCCCGCTGAGTTTCTTGCCGGATCTTCTCAGTGGGTCGCGATTCCGATCCGGTGGTAGATTTTGCGAAGCACTGCTCTTGCTAGGGCTAGTGTTAGCAAACTCTCTCAAGTTGAGCCCGTGAGCTCAGCTACCCGTCCGCGCTTACCTAAGGTACGCCGGTAACGTTACGCAGGTAAGGTAAGCCGCGCTTCCCTACCTACCACTAGGTAAGTTATTTACTGGTGGTAGGACTTCTTGTGAATCAGCGCGGGTAGGTACCACCACTCTGCCTATTTCTGCCGTGAAGCAGTAATGCGTTTCGGTTTGAAGGGCGAGGTAGCTGTTGTAACTATACTGAGACCTTAGAACTGATATCTCAAAGTGGGTGGCGCATTTACGTTGTAGATGTATATCGGCTCCAGTAACCACTGAACACCAGGTGGGCTGTGAGCTCGTCCATCCATCTAAGCAATAAAAAAAAGGTAGAGAAAAAAGGATGGAGCAGCCGTCGTACTACAAAACTGAGTCTTAAAACACATTTCTCATGGTAGGTGACAGTATTCGCGTTTTTGATGTTTATTGGCTCCAGTAACCACTTAACACCACATGAACCGCATACTATACTTCCTGCTATATTACATTGTTCATAATACATGCGATGCCAACGTCAACTAATCGGCGACTAATACCGTACCCACGTTATTTAATGTAAAAACGCCTCCGACAGAAGATGACGTCACTGGCGATCCGTTATGTTTACAGAGTATTTAATATTACACACGCGTGTATTTCCGAGATAACCACACTGCACGCGGTAACCGTTGATTGTAATGCTTAAACTAGCGTTCGACGAATGATCGTAAGGTTTTCAACAACTTTGTTTTATAGATTTTCCCTTATGATTTTTTAGCAAAATTTTGCAAATATTTTTTTTTAAATCATGAGACTAAAACCAAAGAGACTAAAACATAAAAGCAAAGTGAAGGGGAAGCATGGGGAAAGTGAAGGGAAATCACTGGAGTCTGTATTTAGCACAACAGCTAAATATCATTTATCTAAACGCACAGGCGAGCTCACAGCCCAAGCGGTGTCAGGTTACTATAGGCAATAGACATTCCAACGTGTATACGGCCACCCACTCGTGAGTCATGAGGCCGAAGTCTCCATTTTATTGTAACGCATTCCTACCATTCATTCAAACAGAAAGGCATGATTGCTTCGTAGCAGAAATAATCATAATTATGGCGACGGACCGTCGAGGCGATCCGCCCGGTCCTCTCGGACTGGGTGAATCGCGACCGAGGACGTCTCACCTTCCGAGCAACGCAGGTGCTCACGGGACACGGCTGTTTCGGTCGCTACCTGCACCTCGTCGCCCGGAGGGAGCCGACGCCGAAGTGCCACCACTGCAGTGGCTGCAACGAGGACACGGCGGAGCACACGCTCGCGTACTGCACCGCTTTCGCGGAGCAGCGCCGCGTCCTCGTTGCAAAAATGGGACCGGACTTGTCGCTTCCGACCGTCGTGGCTACGATGCTCGGCAGCGACGAGTCCTGGCAGGCGATGCTCGACTTCTGCGAGTCCACCATCTCGCAGAAGGAGGCGGCGGAACGGGAGAGGGAGAGCTCTTCTTCCCTCTCGGCGCCGTGCCGCCGCCGTCGAGCCGGGATTCGGAGGAGGGCGTTTGTCCAGCTCCAGCCCCTATGAGGAGGCAGTCTCCTCCCGGTGATGGTCACGGGGCGACCTAAGGGGGTTGAGGCTGCGCCGCACGCTACCGTCACTCTAGCGCGCTGGCACCAGAAGGACGGGACGGCGCGTCGGCGGCTGCGGACTGCGATGCGGTCCGCATTTTCGTCGTCGCTGTCGTCGCCGAAAATACTGTTGAAGAGCAACCCGGTCGGCAGTGTATCGCGTTCCGACCCGGCAGGCTGGTTCTGGCCCAGCGGGGTATCCCGGAACACCAGCGGCACCGCCCGGGCGGCCTGGTAGGGCCGCCGTACCGCGGAGACTGACGTCGTTGGTCGTCGACTATCGCCTCGACGACCCGTCGGTCGGGCGTCCTCGGTGTGGCGCCGCGTGTCTGGTTGTAGTGTTGACCGCGGGAACCCCCCTACTCTGAACGGGTTCTGACCCCGGACGGAGATCGGACGTCGGGTGTAAGAGTGCAGGGGAGTCGTTTAGTGGGTGGGCCCTAAAATCCTTGGGTCCGCGATCTCCTCTCAACACCTGCAGATCGTTGAGTCTCACATACCCCGCGCGCCCCCTAGGCGCGGGGACCTCGTAGGAGGTTCGGCCCCGGCCCGAAAAAAAAAAAAAAGGTGGTGGCATTTACGTTGTAGATGTATGGGCTTCGGTAACCACCGACACCGGTAGGCCGTGAGCTCGTCCGTCCACCTAAGCAATAAAAAGTCAGTTCGCATTGTGCCTTATGCTACTAACAATACGGTAGGGGGAGGGGGGAAAAGGTCACCTATATATAAGTTACAGTTAACCCGTAATCTGATATTAGTCTTATTTTGATTTCAGACACGAAATAAAACAAATCCGAGCGACGTCTTACATCCGAGGAGTGCTCACTTCGTTCATAATGTTCACGACGCGCAGTTGCTTATTCTGTTCGATACTGGCGTACGTGCTGGTGAACAATGTGATCACCGCCAAACAAGTGTTCGTTATAACGAGCTTCTACAGTATATTGAGGCAGTCCATGACCGTGTTCTTTCCGCAAGGTTAGTGACCTATGTGTTTTTTTTTGTTTTCTAGCCAGGATATATAGTTCACATGCTTGGGTCACCTCCCTATTTCTGCCGTCAAAGAACGCATTTCGATTTGAATAATGGAACAGTTGTTACAAAATGCGGTTAAAGATTTAGACTGGACTGGACTGCGCTCACTTTATAATTTTGATGGAATATCAACAAAGGGAAGACCTTTAATTGAACGAGTGAAATTGCTAGATCCGAATGATGTTTTTAGAAACTTGTATAGAGGCGTCCCTCGTATATCACGATTAATTCGTACCGTACGCGCTATATCGATACTGTGTTAGACGAAACTTTGAAATAATATAAATAAAACCAATGCGTACTGTTATATCGAAATCGTATCTTAAGGTTTAAAATTTTATGATAGCTTATATAGTACGCTCGTTTAAATGTAATGATTTTGTAATCGATGTGGGCTTGTCTCCGCAATTTATAGAATCGAAAATTCCAGTTTTTTTTGTGGAATTAATGAAATGTTTGGTTCTTGTCAATCATTAACAAACTTTAACTTTAACTCTCAAATATTGGCTTAGTAATTTTTTTTACATACCGCAAATTGAAATCAATATGTATTTATAAACTTGTAAAAAACAGTTATTATTTACTTTTTTCCCCATTACTTTTCAAAATTTTCAAAACAAACCAAGCAATAACTTTTATCAATTCCATTTACAAAGAGATAAACCCATACTATCACTTCTCAAAATAGAATGAGAGATTTCCTAGTAACTATAAATAAAGTTTTTATTTTTATTTTTATTGCTTTTTGCTTAAAAAGTTGGGGATTTCCCTTATTAAACCCAATTAAAAAATATTCAAATTTCGAACCTGTATATTCGTTTTTTTGTAATCGTGTTAAATTAGAAACAATAATTCTCAATTATTGTACCGCGTAATATCGAAACGGTGTTTTACAAATACCGTGTTATACAAGGTACGCCTGCATATGTAAGCTTATATTACAAAATATATCGTTAGCGAGATTCAGGCAATTGTGAAATATCTTTTGTTTTACGATAGCTATCTCTACATGTCCATAAAACTTTCTTCGATAATTGAGTATGGAAAAAGTGAAACGAACCATCTATAGAGTAGGGGAATCCATGAATTTGGTTTCTGAGAAATGCTAAGTTTAGAATCTGTTATCCTTAATCTCTTTCTGATTTCATTCTCTCCCTCTCTCTCCCTCTCTCTCCCTCTCTCTCCCTCTCTCTCCCTCTCTCTCCCTCTCTCTTTCTCTCTCTTTCTCTCTCTCTCTTTCTCTTTCTCTCTCTCTTTTTCTCTTTCTCTCTCTCCACCACAAAATGGGGAAACTGCTGCACAATTGAAAGGTCAGCCTATAAATAAATGCTACATTATTCTTTAAAGGTATTGCTCAAGTAGCTGAAGCTTTGATATCCATAAAACGGCTTCAGAGCTTCATGTTATACGAAGACACAAACAAACCCGTTCCCGGACTGGCCGAGATACAAACCTCAACGAAACCCAAGGAGGTGACAAAGGATTCTCTGTTGCCCGCCAGCGATGAGTTGGATGTGAAAAAGGATGATTCGAAATTGACAGCCACCGGTGATAGTTCCGCAGAAACCAAAGAAGCCAAGGGTAATGGTATGGATCGTTCTAGATTATATACTTAGTAAATAATAATTGAAAATACTATTTTCGGAAGGGCGTCTAGTGAGCCCGCAAGGATGCGTACCACCGCCCTGCCCATCTCTGCCGTGAAGCAGTGATGCGTTTCGGTTCGAAGGGTGAGGCAGACGTTGTACTGTAAAATTGTGACTTAAAACTCATGTCTCAACAAAACGTTCTTGATGTCTGTCGACTTTGGTAACCATTTAATAGGAAATGTGCCATGAGTATGGTAGAGATGAAAAATTTCTGTTTTTTTTTTCCTACCTATGCGGATAGCCTTGAGAGGCAATTTCAGATTCTCCTTGACGTGTAGTTGAGCTCACGGGGATCAAACCGGAGTGTTGCTAATACTGGCCTTAGCAAGGGTAGTGCCTCGCAGAATCTACCATCGGATCGGAAACGCGACCCACTGCGAGAAACTCAGTGGGCTGTGTCTGTGGGTTAATTTACTCGTCGAGCCTTTCGTCGCAAGCGACGTATTCGGCGAGGACGGTAACCGGACCGAATTTCTGTAACACAGAAGTAAAGATCTGTTTACCTTATGTCTATTGTGTTGAAGAGATTTCCTAAGGCTTTTATTAATAAATATTTTAAAAAAATCATAGAATTTAGGTAAATATAACAGTCAGAACAATTATACTGGTTGTAGGACCTCTTGTCAGTCCGCACGGGTACGTATCACCACCCTGTCTATTTCTGCCGCGAAGCAGTAATGCGTTTCGGTTTGAAGGGCGAGGCAGCCGTTGTAACTATAAGTACTGAGACGTTAGAACTTATATCTCAAGGTGGGAGGCGGCATTTACGTTGTAGATGTCTATGGGCTCCAGTAACCGCTTAACACCAGGTGGGCTGTGAGCTCCTCCAACTATCTAAGTAATAAAAATAATAATAATAAGAAGACGATTCGTTCTTTAAATCCAGGAAACGTAAACTTAGCCCCCATAGAGGCTAGTGAAGAGGATGAACAAGAATTATCGGCTCGCGTCGAAGAGGACTCCCGCGGCGTGAGACTCAAGCACGCCACCGCCAAATGGATACAGTCGCATCCGGAAAATACGCTCACCGATCTGTCTCTCACCATAAAACCGGGGAAGTGAGTATTAACGGTCTTATTTCTAATTACCTATCTGATGTTCATAACTACCTATTGTATGTAAGCTAAGTAACATATACAATCGATATATATCGAGAAGTGAAATGCTATTTGGTTTAAGCACATTTCGCTTTATACGCGACATCCCTCTTTGTAAATAAACGTTCGTTTTATTTGCTAATAGTATCCACAATTCGATGTTTATAATTAAATTTCAATTAAGTTTACCCCGTTCAAAGAGCTGAATAAGTTTTTTTCCAATGATTTTTTTTCAAATTTTAAACTTTAATTGGCTGTCATGTAAAGTTGCAAAAATGTCGCTTAAACCAAATAGCTTTTGACCCCTCGATATAATATAAAAAACTTCATCAGCTACAACCATTGCATACATACAACATACAAGCAACAGTGCCTTTAGAATAAAAACCAACAAAATGAATTAATGAATTGAATTAATAGTTAGGAGTTATAAATAATTAACTAAAATAATAAATTAAATTTATTTCACAAAAAAAAAAAACACCCTAGTCGTCTGTGACCACGAAAATTGTAAAGCATTTGAAAGGTCAAAAATGACAATAAAAAATTGGACATTTATCGTAAAATTAGTTTTAATGTATGTATGTATGTATGTGTATGAGTCGCGAAAACAAAATAAAGTTACTACTATTAAGTGTATTATCCATGGTTACCACTATTGTAAATTACATTTCAGGTTAATAGCAGTAATAGGCCCAGTCGGTGCGGGCAAGTCGTCCCTTCTGCACGTGTTACTGCGGGAGTTGCCGCTCGCGTCGGGAAGCGTGCACGTCGGCGGAACCGTGTCCTATGCGAGCCAAGAGCCTTGGCTCTTTGCGGGTAACTTACAAAATTTAATGTTTTCATGTATCCGTGTATATGGAAACAATAGATAAATTAAAGACATGTTGCTTTTTTTTTTAATTGGCTTTGTAGGCAGACGAGCATACGGCCCACCTGATGGTAAGTGGTCACCGTCGCTCATGGACGTCAGCAATGCCAGGGGTAAAGCCAAGCCGCTGCCTACCATTAAGTACTCTCCGCAAGCCTCGTTTGAAGAAGGACACGTCATAGCGCTCGGAAAACACCACGGAGGGGAGCACCGTGCTGTTGTAAGGAGGTTTCTTTTCATTTCCAAATAGATGATGTCGGCTCTACTACCGATTATTAAGAGCCATCGACAACCTTACACTGTTATTATCTATAGTCTGCAGCTGCTCTGTTCATCTCTAACTGCCGAACTTTTTGGCGGGAACGCGAGGAGTGAAGTTGTAGGATTTGTTTTATTTTGTCTATTTAGTGTTTCTTCAGGTTTAAATGTGTAATAACGGTGGCTTATTAATTGTTTAATCTTTGTGAAAGTGCACAAATGTGAGAAAATATAAAAAAGCCGCTGGACGTAACTTCTCAAGATCCTCCAAAAAGTCTACTGAAAGATCTCAGTAAATGACCACCATTTTACTGAGATTATATTTCATCCCATATGATTTCATCTCATTTCATTTTATATCATCCCAATTGATTAATGTCTCAAATTAATCATCTTCATTTCATTTCACTCCATATTATCAATTTTCATAAAAATAAGAATATAAATTAAAATAAGACATGACATGAACGTCAAACCAAAATCTGCTATGTGCAAAAACTATTTTGAATTAACGAGTAAAAACATTTTCGTATAAAATTTTATATGAAAGTTAATTTTTAAGAACTATATCAAATGAAAGCTCTAGATAAATATTAAAGCTTCTTCTACAGACACATAACAGTTTTTTATACGGTAGATGTGAACTATACGAAAAGGTCAAAAAGTAAAAATCTCAAAAGTGCACATAGCAGATTTTGTTTTGACAACATTCATAATTCCAATATTTCGTCGCTGTCAAACCAAAATCTGCTATGAGCAAAAACTCTATTTTGAATTAACGAGTAAAAACATTTATGAAGGTGAATTTTTAAGAAATAACTAGCTGACCCGGCAGACTTCGTAGTGCCTCAATCTTATCAATCAAAATTAGCGAAATCGATCCAGCCGTTCTCGAGTTTTAGCGAGGCTAACGAAGAGCAATGCATTTATATATATATAGATAGATAGATATCAAATGAAAGCTATAGATAAATATAAAAGCTTCTATAGACACATAACAGTTTTTTTATACTGTGAGCTAGGAGCTGTGAAATATACGAAAAGGTAAAAAGTAAAAATCTCAAAAGCGCATATAGAAGCTTTTGGTTTGTCAACGACGATGTATATTGTTTTAAAGGGAGCGTCCGTCAGAATATCTTGTTCGGTCAGCCGATGGATCGTCCCCGGTACAACACCGTGGTGCGGAGGTGCGCGCTCGACCGCGACTTCGCGCTTTTCCCGCACGGAGACAAGACCGTCGTCGGCGAACGTGGCGTCAGTCTCAGTGGAGGTAACTAACGTACATTATAAACAAAATACAAATTTGATTTTTTTATTTAAATGTAGAATAAAAAAGAAAAAAAAAAAGAAAAACTGGTGCGCGTGCAACTTTGTGCACGTGAAAGAAGTGAAACTTCTTTTCTAGTATACCTAACCTAATCCATCTTAAGAAGGAGGGAGCCTGGAGATCAGTAATACAGGTCTTTGAACCTAGTACAGACTTCACCTCTTTCAAAGGCTTACAAAATAAATTATAAGGTTAATTTCTATTTGTATTTGTATTTTATTATTTTTATTATAGTATTGTGGTTTTCTTCATTTTTTTCCGATTTCATACTTTGATATTTTTCATGATATTTTTATAAAGTCAAGGGTACAAGCATGTACAAACCCAGAGAGAGAGAGAGAGAGAGAGAGAAGGAGAAAATAGTAGGACGAGAAACTGTAGAAAACAACCTAGCTCGCTTTGTCCTCTCTCCACGGTCGAGTGTTTCGCGAGACGCTCTGTATATTTTCTCACTCTCGCTCTTCCTGATTTGTATAAGTATTTTTTCTCTAACCGTAACGAATCTGTCCCGAGTTACATTTGACTCTCAACGCGACTAAAGAAGTTTCACTTCAAAAAAAAAAAAAACCTTTTAATCTTAAGGTCAACGCGCCCGTATATCTCTGGCTCGCGCGGTGTACAAGCGCGCCGACATATACTTGCTGGACGACCCGCTATCCGCCGTCGACGCACACGTCGGTCGGCACTTGTTCGAGTCGTGCGTGGTCGGGTACCTGCGGAACTCAACGCGGATACTCGTCACGCATCAGCTGCAGTTCCTCAGGGACGTCGATCAGGTGAAACTATTATATTATATGGAGAAGCGACAATTATTAACACCATCGTCAGACATCGTAGGGGCGAATAGGGTGAATATCTAGAACAATTTAGAAATCTTCTCTTGACGTTAGCGAACGAAAACGAATTCTTAGGATGCAGGTACCGCTCTTCTAGAAGGCTGGTTGGTAAGGGTGATAGCGTCTACGCACCTCCATAGACTAGGCTCTGTCGTAGCACGAAGTTAGCCGAATTCCGACGATACCGCAATTGTGTTGCCATCTCTCGGGAATCGTGCTACGCTTCGTTTATTTACCAATCTAATGACCGGCTCTGACACATATATATATATATATATTTTTTTTTTTTTGTTCGCTTGAACATCGTACTGTTACAAACTCCCCATGTTAGTTAAAGGAATATTACATTCCACTGATGCTGAGTAAGCAGAATAAGAAATAACTTGGTAATATTTACCGACCGAGAGTTGGTCAGTCGTAGTCAGTCACCCGCCGGAAGCGATCTCAACTAATATCTCCTTTCTGCCTATTTCTAAAATTCAATGTTTTGTGAAATAGAACTAATAAAAGCGAAATCTCTTTCAAAAATCCTTTTTTTTAAAACCTAACCGTAAAACCCTACTTTCCCGTGGGTGTCACCCCTACTAGATAGTAGAAAAGATCTCTAACAAAAAATTGCTGTGTTTTTTGCAGATAATAATATTGAAAAATGGTACAATAGCGGCGGCCGGTAACTTCGATACTTTGAGCGCGTCTGGTCTTGATTTTGCTACGTTGTTGGCGCGCGACCAGCACGAGGAAGAGAAACCGACCGAGGCCGCAGTCCTTACCGACACCGAGGATAATAACTCGGTTCTCCACGGAAGCTTTAGGAAACGACAACTGAGTATTCATTCCGTGAGTATAGTATATATGACAATAGTTACTGGTGGTAGGACCTCTTGTGAGTCCGCACGGGTAGGTACCACCACCTTGCCTATTTTCTGCCGTGAAGCAGTAATGCGTTCCGGTTTGAAGGGCGGGGCATCCGTTGTAACTATACTGAGACCTTAGAACTTATATCTCAAGGTGGGTGGCGCATTTACGTTGTGGATGTCTATGGGTTCCAGTAACCACTTAACACCACCCATCGATGCAATAAAAAAAAATTTGAACGTCTTCAGGTGAGCTCGGTGGACAACCTGACGGCGACGGCGCCCCCGGAAGGCACCCGCGAGGAGGCGGAGATGAAGTCTGCGGGCGCGGTGTCGGGGCGCGTGTACGGCGCCTACCTGCGAGCCTGCGGTAACGCATTCGTGATCACATTGATGCTGCTTGTCGCCGTCTTAGCGCAGCTACTCGGTTCTGCCTCCGATTGGTGGACCAGCTTCTGGTAATTTCAGTTTCTTAGACCAAGAGAAACACTAGTATATGAGGTATAAAGGTGTCGCGGCTTAAGCCTAAACGGTTGTCAAATTTAGAATATTTAATAATAATAATAATTAAAAACAATTGCCAAATTTGTATACACTACTACTACTACTACTAGCTTACTGCATTTAACGAATGTCTTTGTTCTTCGATATTGTCGAGAATGTGATGCGAAATAAAAGCCCACTAAGATTCTCACCGGATTTTCTCAGTGAGTCGCGTTTCCGATCCAGTGGTAAGTGGTTAGCAACAACGTCAGGTTTGAGCACCGTGAGCTCACCTACTAGTTCGGTGAATCGAGAATAACCCATCGAGGTTATTTGAAAAGGCAGAAAAAAAAGCTAAACAAAAGATTGAAAATAGTTTAATTAGAAATTAATAGGTAACATTATGTTGAAATATTTTTCGACAGGGTAAAGTTGGAAGAGAAAAATTACGCGTCTCATACGTTGCGCACTTTCGATGATCGAAATGAGACGGGAAGTTTACAAGCCGCGGACCCTAGAGTCGATAATGCGATCTTCTCTGACGTCGGCCTGTCTCGCTATGATTGCATTTATATTTACACTGGTAAGTTTTACAAACGACTACAGGCAAATGGTAGTTCATTTTACAAATTGCTTTCTATCCATCTGTAAGTATAGGAGTTAATATCTTCCATACCTTCCTTTACCTTTTTCTTTATTTACTTAAAAGTGGATGAACGTACAGATTTCGTGTAGTGGGGATGAATAATGGAAAAAAGGAGGTACCGCGTGATATCGATCGCAACAATATCCATTCCCATTGGTTTTTTTTTCTATGCAACATACAGACAAAAAAGCATATTATTTAAATAAGTCGAATTATTTTTTATTATTTTACGCATGGATTTGGTTTATAATTATATAAATGTGATCTATTTAGGTATCGTAGCGGCTCTGGTAGCGGTCACGTTGCTGCGTTCGTTTATGTTCTTCTGGATAGCGATGCGCGCCTCGACCCGCCTGCACAACAACATGTTCGCGGCCATCACCCGCGCCCCCATGCGCTTCTTCCACGTCAACCCCTCGGGCCGGATCCTCAACCGCTTCTCCAAGGACATGGGCGCTGTCGATGAAGTGCTGCCCTCTGCCGTTATTGATGTCTTACAAGTGTGTGTTTATTCTTTTTTTTTTATAAGGGATTTTATGATCTGGTAACGAAGACCTTTAAGTCATGTCTTATTTTGATTCATATTCTTATTTTAATGAAAAATGATAGTATGGAGTGAAATGAAATGAAATGAAATGAAGATGATTAATTTGAGATATTAATCAACTGAGATGAAATAAAACGAAATAAGATGAGATGATATGGGATGAAATATAATCTCAGTAAAATGGTGGTCATTTACTGAAAATTTTCAGTTGACTTTTTGGAGGACTTCAAGAAGTTACCTCCAGCGACTTTGTTTCATTTTCCCACATTTGTGCACTTTCCCAGATATTAAATATTGTTATTGTTTAATTACACGAGTAAAAGAGACGCATTCATTGAAAACAAACTCGCAGTCTTGTTAGGAATATTATTATATAATTATTATTATTTTTATTGCTTAGATGTGTGGACGAGCTTACAGCCCACCTGGTGTTAAGTTAACCACTTAACACCAGGTGGGCTGGAACCCATAGAACTCTACTACGTAAACGCGCCACTCACCTTGAGATACAAGTTCTAAGGTCTCATGTATAGTTACAACGGCTGCCCCACCCTTTAAACCGAAAGTACTTGCCTATTGCTGTCGAAAAACTAAAGCTTATTTTAATATATGTATATATATTTTTAAATCTAAATTAAATGTTAATTTTTTTTTCAGTACATGTTAAAATTGTAAACTTTCAGATCGGTCTGTCGCTGATCGGTATCGTGGTCGTGGTGGCGATAGTGAACTACTGGCTTCTGGTGCCGACGGTGGCGATCGGCGTCATCTTCTACGGGCTCCGCATATTCTACCTGGCCACGTCGCGGAACATCAAACGCCTCGAGGGTGTGAGTGAGTGACCTTAACGCATCCAATCTATTTTCATATTGCGAAGAACAACTTCCGTATAGGGTAAACCGTCCTATAGTTGACACATTAAAAAAATACACATAAAGTTTTATAAATGCTACAGTGTTAATAAATTTTGTTATTTTTTTTAATTTATTGATGCACAAAACAAATTACAATCATTACAGTACAAATTAGCTAAATCGTACAAGTAGTACCTAGATCTAATCTGGGTTTCAATGTAAATGGTATATACACTCAGCAAACCCGTATTTAATGTACACAGCTTTGGCTATTGAAAACAAAATTACAAATTACGAATTCCAGTGAATAAAAAAAAATACTTGTGGTAGGACGTCTTGTGAGTTCGTACGGGTAGGTACGACCACTCTGCCTATTTCTGCCGTGAAGCAGTAATGCGTATCGGTTTGAAGGGTGAGGCAATCGTTGTAGGGTTAAAAGTGAGACTTTAGAACTCATATCTCAAGATGTGTGCAAGCATTTACATTTTAGTTGTCTATGGGCTCTGATAACCACTTAACACCAGGTGAGCCGTCAGCTCGTCCACCTATCTAAGCAATAAAAATAATATTAATAATATAAGAATGCATTAAACCTGCAAAATTTACATTTAAATTATTTGACATCGATTTTTCATAACAAGGCTGTGAGTTTGTTTTCAGTGAATGCGTCTCTTTTGATCGTGTAATTAAATAATAACAATGTCAAGCAATCATAATGCTACACGTTGTGCTTCCACACACCAACCGACAATGGGAGATTGCAATCAATTTTATTGTCCAGTATTGGAAAGTTTCTCTTTTGGTATGTTTGTATGTGGCACAAACTATTTGAAAAAAAAAAACGAAACAAGCTTTTATTGGGGGAGTAGAGCTACCTATAAGTCCGCACCTGTAGGTACGACTACTTTGTCCATTTTTGCCGCAGTAACGCGTTCCGGTTTGAAGGGTGGGGCAAAACCGTTGTACTAAAGAACTGAGATTTAGAACTCTGTCCAAAAGTGGGTGGCGCCATTAACTGTTGATATCTGTGAGCTCTTTAACCCGCGAGGCGGATCGTGAGTTTATTCATCAGTACAATCATTAAAAACTAAATCATTAATGTAAATAATCTTTTGTACGGCAGCTCGGAGTCCCGTGTTCTCGCACCTCAACGCTTCGTTGCAAGGTATCACCACTATCAGAGCGTTCGGCGCTCAAGAGGCTCTCATCAGGGAATTCGACAATCATCAGGATCTACACAGTTCAGCTTGGTGAGCCTAATGATAATTGAACTTTTTAACTCACTGAGTGATGCGACTCACAAGGACCCGTAATCTATAATGTTTGTTTGTTTATATTGAATAGGCTCCGAAACTACTGAACCGATTTGAAAAATTATTGCACTGCTAGGAACTGCTACACTATTCCCGAGTGACATAGACATATATAATATTTTTTTTAAAAAAAATAGGGATCCTTACTAAAACTCCAATAATGTAACCCAAGGTGTAAAAAAATTACCTAAAATATTATTTACATTGCGTGCCCTGCGAAAACTATTGTTGATACAATAAAATAATGCACTACGACTTTGTAGAACAAAAATGTTGTCAAATATTGTTGAAATTTTTGTTAAGATCCGAGCGAAGCCGGAGCGTGCCGCTAGTAATAATAATAAACTTACCAAATGATTACACGTCCGGGAATATATGTTTTGGTAAAACGAAAATGAACAAGCCGTCATCGGAGTTTCCACTCCGTATGCTTACTTCGTCCACTATTACCTTATAAGTGTATTTCTACTGAAAGATATATGGCAAAAATCTCTCTTTTTTCTTTTAACCACATGTCATTTCAAATTCTATTTTTTCAGCACTTTGTTGGATAAATGTTTTTATGTAGTTAATATTGTTTGGCTTTGTAACCCCTACCCCCCTCCCACCCGCGCACCGAACATTATATCTCTTCAGTTAAGCGATGGGATTTTAATACTTTGAATTTATTTATAGAAGACAAGAGTTATTAGCATTAAAATTCGCGGTGTAAGAGTCAGATAAACATATCTACATTTTCTCAATTTTGAGGAAGACAATTAGAACTAACTAAACGGTACCCATAATACGTTTTTCTGGTTCCATTGAAAGTGATTCTTAAGCTTTTTAGTTATTTTAGAATTTGTTAAATATCAACTATACCGCTACGTCGTTTTTGCAATTCATAGAAGACTATATATATGGTGAACCGTTTCATGAAAAAAAATTAGTACATTCTCATAAAAAAACAATTTAACTGTTTTTTTTTATTTTTAAATAAACTACTACTAATTAAATAAGAACTGTCTGATGAATTCATCTTTGTTTAATACTTCACTATTATATTTTATTGCCTTTTGTTTATTTAACTTTTACACTAAACACAACATATTGCATAACAATGGCGGAGAATTTTAGGTGCGTGAGAGCAGACGTAGACACTAAACCGCATGCGCACTTGTCAGTACCCAGGGAGGAAAAATTACACTTTCTTCCCTGTACAGCGGGAGGAAAACCGAACTTTCGGCGTAGCTAGGAGAAAAAATATGTTTTTTTGTTGTTGTAGATACGTTAATCTGGTTCCTATACCGCGAATTGCAGGTACATGTTCATCGCGAGCTCAAGAGCGTTCGGTTTCTGGTTGGATTTGGTGTGCGTTGTTTACATCGCGGTGGTCACCATGAGCTTCCTCGTGCTCGGCAATGAGAAGTACGGAGGGGACGTCGGTCTGGCCATAACGCAGGCGATGGGTCTGACCGGCATGTTCCAGTGGGGCATGCGGCAGTCCACTGAACTGGAGAACCAAATGACCAGTGTCGAGAGGTGAGTTGCTTCAAAAGGCAGTATGATGATATGCAATAGGGTCTTTGTGGGCTTCCTTCACATAATTATTAAATTTTTATATGTATTAGGATAAATGAGGCCGTCAACGCAAAAGTGGCCTAAGCTTACCATAGTTATTACGGAGCAATGAGGTTTAAGTTTTCATGAATTTGAATTTGAGTAGGCAAAAAAAACAAAAGGCGCAAAAATAATGTTTACAAATGTGTAATAAATAAATGTAAAAAAAATATCTACGCCAAATATAGAAATAGCGTAATTATTTTTATATAACTTTTTTTTTAAATACACTTCATGTTTCGTAACACTCTGCGGTGCATTTAACTTAACACATTGAAATGATTAAAAATGTGCTCATAGAGATTGTCATCAAAAAAACGGTGCGCGTACAACTTGTTGTACGTGAATGAAGTGAAACGAAGTCGTCGTGGCCTAAAGGATAAGACGTCCGGTGCATTCGTATGTAGCGATGCACCGGTGTTCGAATCCCGCAGGCGGGTACCAATTTTTCTAATGAAATACGTACTCAACAAATTGTTCACGATTGGCTTCCACGGTGAAGGAATAACATCGTGTAATAAAAATCAAACCCGCAAAATTATAATTTGCGTAATCACTGGTGGTAGGACCTCTTGGGAGTCCTCACTTATTTGTACACTTTTATATTATTTTTAAATACTTCATTAAATTATTGGACGCTACTCGTTGCTAACGCTCGCGCTGACCGGTAACAGGTATACTATGTGCATGCGTTCGAGTGCCACGCATTCACTCTCGCTCTGTCCCTTTCTAGTATGGTAGCGTTAAACGTTTAACGCAACCTTGTTGGAATTCGCATTAGATGTTTCACTTCAAATGTATTACTTTTTTTTTTTAAATAGAGTGTTTAATTATTAATAATTAACAAACAGGATCGACGAATATTCGAACATAGAATCGGAGCCCCCCCTCCAGTCGGAGGGCGACAAGAAGCCTCCCCCCTCGTGGCCGGAGGCGGGCGGCGTGCAGTTCCGCCACGTACATCTGTACTACGCGCCCGGCGAGCCCGCCGTGCTCCGGGACTTGTCCTTCATCATTCTACCCAAAGAGAAGGTCGGCATCGTCGGCAGGACCGGCGCCGGGAAATCTTCTCTCATCAATGCTTTGTTCAGGTCAGTTTAAATCGGTTGATGTGAAACTCGTTCGACTGATGCGACTGTGTGTGCGAGTGGAGACCGCGAATTGGCAAGCGCAGCCGTTCTAATTATACTTGAGACCTTAGAATTTATATCTCAAGGTGGGTGGCGCATTTACGTTGTAGATGTCTATGGGCTCCAGTAACAATTTAACACCAGGTGGGCTGTGAGCTCGTCCATCCATCTAAGCGACAAAAAAAATGCAGTGCACGATGCCCTCGGACTCGGTGAAGTGAGGATTTGTTTTATTTATTTATTTTTATTTATTGCATAGATAGACTAAATAAATAAATAAATGAAAACATACAAGTCCACTACGTCACTGTTACCTTCTAATTTCTATATTCGTTTGAGTATCATCCGAATGAGGGAGCTTTCATCACGTGACCGGTCGGATGACGTCTTCCTACTGGTGCAAGATTTTTTCACGTCACACACTATGAGTCGCGATCATCATTCGACATTATTATTGTAAAACGGTTTTTCATCTATACTAATAATATAAAGAGGAAAGATTTGTTTGTTTGTTTGTATTGAATAGGCTCCGAAACTATTGAACCGATTTGAAAAATTCTTTCACTGTTTGAAAGCGACATATGTAGTTGAAAGTGACATAGGCAATAATCTTTTTTGAAAAAAATCAGGGATCCTTACTAAAAAGGGTTAGGGTTAGGGATACTTCCTAAACTCCAATAATGTAACCCAAGGTGTAAAAAAATTGTCTAAAATATTCTTTACATCGCGTGCCCTACGAAAACTATTGATAATAGAATAAAATAATGTACTACGACTTTGCAGAACACATTATTATTTACAAAAAGTGTCGCTACAGCATATGACTAACTATTATCGTTATGCTGCAGTAAGTGTTATTTTATTTTAAAAAAGAAAACAACGTCAAATATCGTTGAAAGTTTTGTTAAAGACCCGAGCGGAGCCGGAGCGGGCCCCTAGTTCGTTAATATTTCTATTTATGTGTGACTACCGTATTAAATTGATTATTGTATCAAATATATTCCGGAATTGATATGTTAATATTTTTCACCAGGCTTGCGACAATAGAAGGTGAGATCATAATCGATAATCGAGAGACTTCTTCGATGGGCCTGCATGAGCTCCGTAGTCAGATCTCGATAATTCCTCAAGAGCCAGTTCTATTTTCGGGCACCATGAGACACAATCTGGATCCCTTCGATGAATATCCCGACCAAGTATTGTGGAGGGCCTTGGAAGAGGTGAGGAATAAATTTTGTTAAAATATCGTAACGTTAACTAATTCGTAAGGGGGCGTCCATTAATTACTTGAGGCGTTTTTGAGAATATTTTGACCCCCTCTCCTCCCTTGGTGGATATCATAAGATTTTTCTCAACTCCCTCCCCCCTCCTCTAATCTCACGCGAGATTCTTCAAAACTTCTATTTGGATGGTAAACGTGTTGGATTATTGAAAAAAAAAAACTTGCTCAATTACTTTTATTGAAGACTCGCAAAGACTAGTATATGTGAATACTATATCAAATCGGTTCAGTAGTTTCGCAGCCTAATCAATATAAACAAACAAATCTTTCCTCTTTATAATATATGTATTTTAAATATCACAAATTAAAACCTTTATTACGTCTCTCAAGGAGACATTAATGTATGACAATCTACTGACTTCGGTAAATGAAAAGAAAATTTCTAATATTATTATTTTTTGCCCTTGTAGGCAGACGAGCATACGGCCCACCTGATGGTGAGTGGTTACCGTTGCCCAAGGACTTCAGCAATGCCAGGGGCAGAGCCAAGCCGCTGCCTACAATAGTCAAACATTTTATTCAAGTGTTATTGTAATAAATGGTGTCGTACTCAGGTTGAGCTGAAGGAAGTAGTGCAGGAGCTCCCGGCCGGTCTGAACTCTCGCATGTCGGAGGGCGGCGGGAACTTCTCCGTGGGGCAGCGGCAGCTCGTGTGCCTCGCGCGGGCCATCGTCAGGCGGAACCGCCTGCTCGTGCTGGACGAGGCCACCGCCAACGTCGACCCGCAGTACTTAGATACTTTATACGCCCCACATTAGTTACATAAAGCTGGACATTCATGATTCCAATATTACGTCGCTGTCAAACCAGACTCTGCTATGTCCAAAAACTCTATTTTGAATTAACGAGTAAAAACATTTATGAAGGTGAATTTTTAAGAACTACTAGCTGACCCGGCAGACTTCGTAGTGCCTCAATCGATAAATAAAATACCTATACTTTTGTTTTAAATAAACTTAAAACAAACAAAAGGAATCCGTCCGACGGGGGACACATCAAAGGAAAAACAAAATTGTTATTCTTATGTAATTCCGAGCATTTTCATATATACCTTTTAAACCTTCTCTGCACTTTCACAAATAATTCAAGACCAAAATTAGCGAAATCGGTTCAGCCGTTCTCGAGTTTTAGCGAGACTAACGAACAGTAATTCATATAAATATATATATATATATATATATATATATATATCAGTAACATATCAGTAACAATATAGATATCAATATAGTATCAATATAGATAACCGTTTTTTCTTATACGGTAACTAGGGCTGTGAACTATACGAAAAGTTCAAAAGTGTACATAGCAGATTTTGGTTTGACAACAATGATTTGTAATTCTATTTCGATCTAACGAATTAGATATATCTGTCGGAAAAACTGCGTTATTAAGACCATTGTCAGACATCATAAGGGCGAATAGAGTGATCGAGTTAAGATAAATATTGAGTACACAACAAAACACGTTTGTTGTCATAGAACAATTTCGAAATCTTCTCTTGACGTTAGCAAATGAAAACGAATGACAGTTCTTAGGATGGAGGTATAGCTCTTCAAAAAGGCTGGTTTGTTAGGGAAATAACGTTAATGCGCGCCTCCGTCGGCTAGCTCTGTCGTAGCACGAAGTTAGCCGAGTTCCGACGATACCGCAATCGTGCTGCCATCTCTCGGGAATCGTTGCTACCAAACTAATGACCTTCTCCGACATAATATATGAGTCGTCTATTATCAAAGGTGGCAATCTGTGCATTTGGACAAAAAAATGTTATTGATATGTCAATACAGATTGATTTGAATATAATCGTCTCCTTCAAAGAATACGGTTCAAAACCTGCATTAAATAAAGTATTAACTTAACCTGTTATTTATCTAAGATGTCGTTCAGAAGAGTTTTGTGACTGCCAATGGAATACAAAGTCAATAATTCGTTTTTCTGATTTACCAATAATTGTCCAAAAGTCACATTGCCGGCTTTGATAATAGTCGACTCATATATGACAAGTACTTTAAAGCCAAAATTTATATAATTGATATAAAAGTTTGATTAGTTTATGTCATACTAGTCACCTTAGGAGAATATTTAATGTATTATAAAAAAATTCATATCGAAAATGATGATTTTTAAACGTATTTCTCGTTTTCAGAACCGATGCCCTCATACAAACGACAATTAGAAACAAATTCGCAGAATGCACAGTACTCACGATTGCTCACAGACTTCACACCGTCATGGATTCTGATAAGGTAGTTTTTTTTTTTTTTGTTGCTCAGATGGGTGACGAGCTCACAGCCCACCTGGTGTTAAGTGGTTACTGGAGCCCATAGACATCTACAACGTAAATGCGCCACCCACCTTGAGATATAAGTTCTAAGGGTCTCAGTATAATTACAACGGCTGCCCCACCCTTCAAACCGAAAGGCATTACTGTTTCACGGCAGAAATAGGCAGGGTGGTGGTACCTACCCGCGCGGACTCACAAGATGTCCTACCACCAGTAAAACGGGGCGTGTTTACTTCAGTATTTCCGTGAAACAATGACGTCCTCAAATGTGTGTGAATGGCCAGATGGCCATTAGTAAAATAAAGATGAGGCGTATTAACGCTATCAGGTTTTCACTTTAAATTACGGCACCCTGGTAGGAGCAAAAAAATACTTGCAAGTATGAAAGTATATGTGCTGAAGTCGGATGCTAAAAAACTTGAACACTCACATGAAAATACTGCATTGGAAAATGATTCATATCCTATTAGGAATAAATATAAAAATGAATTGCTGTTCGTTAGTCTCGCTAAAACTCGAGAACGGCTGGACCGGTTTGGCTAATTTTGGTCTTGAATTATTTGTGGAAGTGCAGAGAAGGTTTAAAAGGTAGATAAATATGAAAATGCTCGGAATTAAATAAAAATAACTATTTTGTTTTTCCTTTGATGTGTCCCCCGTCGGACGGATTGTAAAATGAGATTGTAATTTATACCTAATGTTCATGGGCTAAAATTGCTTAACACTAGGTGAGCTTGACCTTGCTTAGCGTATGTATTCCGAAATTATCAGTGAGTTTACTTCGCAGGTTCTCGTTATGGACGCCGGTCAAATGGTGGAGTTTGATCATCCGCACGTGCTGCTGCAGAAGCACGAGGGCGTCCTGCGCGGCATGGTCGAGCAGACCGGCAAGGCCATGGCCGACACGCTCGCGCGGGTCGCGCAACAGGTACGTAGCGGCCGGGGCCCGGTGGGTTTTTTTTTATTGCTTACATGGGTGGACGAGCTCACAGCCCACCTGGTGTTAAGTGGTTACTGGAGCCCATGGACATCTACAACGTAAATGCGCCACCCACCTGGAAATATAAGTTCTAAGATAGTAAGTATAGTTACAACGGCTGCCCCACCCTTTAAACTGGTGGTACCTACCCGCGCGGACTCACAAGAGGTCCTACCACCAGTAAGTAACTTACACGATGTTATTCCTTCACCGTGGAAGTCAATCGTGAACATTTGTTGAGTACGTAATTCATTAGAAAAATTGGCACCCGAATGCGGGATTCGAATTCCGGTGCATCGCTACATACGAATGAATGCACTTGAGGTGTTATCTCTTAGGCCACGACGACTTCATAACGTGGTTAACAGGCGCGGTGCAATCGTGGTTAAAGAATAACATGGCCTAGTCAAATGACTAACAAACGTAGGCAGCGGCTCGGCTCAGCCCCTGGCATTGCTGAAGTCCATGGGCGACGGTAACCCCTTACCATCAGCTGGCCAGTGTGCTCGTCTGCCTACAAGGGCAATAAAAAAATTGAGATTCGCTAAACATTTAATTTGCGTAGGATATGACGTGTTGTGATGAGTGGTGAGAATACATAACTAAACATCACCACGTTCTCCTATGACTATTTCCCGGGCGGCCGTTACGCAATACAATTTTGAAATCGACCGCATTTTATGGGGTTTCGGCTTAACACCAGACGAGCCGTGAGATCATTTGTCCCTTATTCATAGGGTGAATCTTGTTTTTAATTATATACATAATGAAACACAACAGCCAATTTAATTGAATCTGTTAATTTATTCTGAATATATGTATTGTATCTCAAAAAACATTCTTATTATTTTTTATTTCTGAGAATGCAATTTTACAAATTATTTCTTTGTTACAGGCTTACGAGAAGAAAAATTTAGGGAGTGCGACAGAATGATCTAGTTTAACATGAATGTAGGCTACGAATTACTTAAAATACGTGTTATTAATGTTCCTATGAGGGATGTACAAAAGGATCTGTTTTATTCCGTAAGTGTGTAGGCTGCCCGCCGATACGTCACGCTTATGTCACAAATGTATTCGTTATTTATATGGTAGGAACTATTTGTAAGAATAGGTTTTTGTTAATTATTGCGTGTTTGTAAAACAAGTGAGATTTCCATTGGATGGTTACCAAAATTGATCTTTATGTTAGAGTAGTTAAAAGGATATTTTGACTGCAATACCAAATCCTTATCGAATATTTTCTTAATTTAAATTTACTACAATGTAAACAGTGTCTTAATTAGTTTTTTTTGTTTGTTTGAAGAAATCAAAGCTTTACCGTATTATTATATACAAAAGGTGCTACAATTTTACTTGTAGACTTTGAACGAGGCCTATTATAGGTTTAGCGTGTACTTACATTAATTATATAAATAACGGAAAAACAAAAGGAAACGTTACTTATTAACACTGTAAGTGTCTTTGATGATAAATAATATTTTAAGTAGCTAATTTTATTCAGTGATATGTATTGTGTACTTATGTCGATATGTGATTATGGATTTGATAAAATTATATTCAACATACAATTTTTATTCTGATAATATACTGATGTTTGTAGAAATTGAAAATGTTTGTTGATTAATACAACAAAATAAAATTTTAGATTGAATTCAAGGCTTTTTTCTTTCTTTACATCCCGCGGCCGATTACCTAGCCGTTGGTGTGATCAAGTAACCGCTCTAACTGGGTTGCCAGTCGCAACCGCCATTCGAGCAGCTGAGGACCGGACGAGATGGAAACAGCTCACGAGACAGGCAACGGTCGAGTTTCAGGGACACGACCTTCAGCAATGAAGAAAGCGACGAAGAAGAAGACATCCCCCGTCAACTGTACGTTTTGTACGTTAGTAATTAAAAGACCATTAATTGAGTAATCCCATTTATTTCAATTTCTTTCATTTTTATGAGCGAACAACTCATAACTACGACGGAATGTGACAAAAAAACATAATAACTACGAAATTATTCAGTTAAAAACTGATTAAACGAAACCATGTAATTAACAATTCTTACATACTTTCAATGCAAAAATAGTTTTTATTACTACGGATTATATTTACAGCACATATTAACTTAACTAACATTACAATCTATCCCTTAAATTCGCCTTATTCGATAACGGAAAACTATATTTTCATTATATTCCATTATAAATAGTCTCTCTGGATTTTAGTCGGGCAACAACACTTGAGTTGTGCGGTTTGTTATAGAAAAGGTTTGCAAATTCAAGGGCTTTAGATAGAGATGAGTCAGCAGGGCGGAAGCGCGCTACATTAGAGCTTACGTATAAAGGTTCTGTACCGCTAGAGCAGCGGTCGGGGAATCGGGGTAAATTACCCCAAATGGGGTAAAATGAAACTTTTGTGAGTAAAAAGTATATATTGAAGTGAAACTTCTTTAGAATCGTTGTGATTTCAAACTCATAAAAATATCATATGAATTATAAAATAACAAGAAATTATCATTTACTTATATTTTCTGTGGGGGCGTTTTTTTTTTTCCTCAACTGTATATTACATATATTAATATTATTACCGTCATGTATTACTAGGTATTACATTGATAAATTGAATAAATGATGTTTAAATTATCTTTTAGTTATTGTTTTCTTTTCAAAATTATTATGGAGGCTATGATATGAAAGATGCTAAAAAGAAGCGATTTCGTTTTTTTTTTGTTCTTCGCCATGGGGTAATATCAACTTACACAAAAATGTTTTGGAGTAATAATTAAAAAAGTTCCCCGACCGCTGCACTAGAGGCTCTACAGCCCTGCTGCGCTCTCTTAATAATATCCGCTCTTCGTTTTATCACAGAACCCGGGATCGTGTCAGCGTCACTCTCGCTGCCCAAAACGTACGAACAACGGCCATCATATAAATAGCTTAACCGAAATTAATGAAACGAGAATCACAGAACACCGAAAAAAATTTGTTAAAACTATATTTAACGTTCCGTTATTTAACTATACCTAAATATACCCAAATTAAAACGAGTATCCATCCATCCACGTGAGATAACAGCCAAAAGATATACAAACTTCAAAATTTTAATACCAATACAACGTGTGTTCTGTGATAATATAATAATAATACTTGAAACGCATATTATTAAAATAAAGATTAAACAAACAAAAAAAAAAAGTACAAAAAATTAAGTTTCAAATGAAAACTAAAATTTAGACATGATATGTTCATCGAAATTAAATAGAATAAATAGTCTAATACAACCAAACCAATAAGTTTGGGTAAGTAGCATTAATTGTCATGACGAAACGTTTCCCTTTGGCACAAGAGAAATATAAATTGTTTAGTCTTCGAACAGATTCGGAAGAGAAAAAAAATAACATTCTGAGATCTTCAGAAAACTATCGAAATTAAATTCACTCTCGAATTGAAATATCATCGTGATATTCGAACGTAAAACTAAAATGTCACAGTCTTTATTTAACGGCATCGGTGGCCTTGGTGCATATCGCAGGGCCTTCAGGCCCGGTGAGGCCCGGTGAGGCCCGCCGAGCCGAGTGCCCAGTAGCTGCCGTCGTGACGCGCCGGCCACACGCGCGTCTAAACGAGCGCCGTCAAACTGCCTGTATTCGTTTTCTTCGCGTCGGTTTCAGTTAAGTTCGGCTTCGTCTGAAATGAAAATAAATAAATTAAAGTAACTTAAAATTTTGATTGTGACAAAGTGTCCCATTATTTGTTATTCCTACTTATGCTGATAGCATTGAGAGGCTATATCAGCTTCTCCTTGACGTATAGGTGAGCTCACGGGGCTCAAACCGGGAGTGTTACTAACACTGGCCCTAGCAAGAGCAGTGCTTCGCCGAATCTAACACCGGATCCGAAACGCGACCCACTAAGAAGATCTGGCGAGCAACTCAGTGGGCTCTATCTACGGGTTAATTCACTCGTCGAGCCTTTCGTCGCAAGCGACGGGTTCTACGAGGACGGTGACCGGATCTCGTTGTACTAAAACAAAGAGCACATTAAAAAATCTGCGAGATGTGCATCTATCTAGTTATTCGTTCTACTGAGGTTTTTTTAACCACAAAACGTGACATAACAAATTGAATTGGCACTTTGCTAGAAACAGATGATTTTTTGTATTGTATGAATGTGGTCATTGGTACCAATGATACGAGCACTGTCGTACTGTTATCTACCATGAACATTGAATCAAGAATAGCTCAAATTCCATCCACTGCAAATTGCCTTTTTTTTCCCTACCTAAGCTGATGGTCTTGAGAGAGACCACTTCAACGTAACCGGGCGAGTAAATGACCTCGTGGGGCTCAAACCTGACGTTGTTGCTAACACGAACCCTAGCAAGAGCCGTGCTTCACAGAATCTACCGCCGAATCGGAAACACGATCCACTGAGAAGATTCGGCGAGAAACTCAGTAGGCTATTACCTATTATTGTACATAAAGAAAGGGCTTAGTATTATTAATTTTTTTTTATTGCTTAGATGGGTGGACGAGCTCACAGCCCACCTGGTGTTAAGTGGTTACTGGAGCCCATAGACATTTACAACGTAAATGCGCCACCCCCTTGAGATATAAGTTCTAAGGTCTCAAGTATAGTTACAACGGCTGCCGCACCCTTCAAGCCGAAACGCATTACTGCTTCACGGCAGAAATAGGCGCGTTGCTATACTATGCCTCTAATAAGGGTTATAGCACATAGATGTTGATGCCCGTAGTAGGGCTCGGGGGTTGTTAGGGTGGGTACCTGTCCCCGCGGCGGCAGCGGCAGCGCGAGGCGCAGCGCGGTCCAGAAGGCGCGCTCGTGCACGTGGCGCCATGCGACCAGCCGCGAGCCGCGCAGCGCCGCCACCAGCCGCGACCCGCCCTCCTTCGCCTCGCGCTTCAGCTTCGGGAGATCCTGTTAAATGGAACCTTAATTATACTAACGTTCATTTTTTGGAACGAAGTTCCTTATGCGACGATGCGGAAGGGTACCCTAACCGGGAAAAAACGTCCGTAACGTAAGATTTTTATTAGTAATGCACACAGTGTACGACTTCACTTCGTAATAACGTACAATTTAGTAATGCACACAGTGTACGACTTAACTTTGTAATAACGTACAAAAAATAAGATATTTTTTTATCATTCAATGACCACGATCTCAGAGCGTTCGTTTGCGCAATACACTAACTCTTATGCAAGCAACCGTGAATGTCCGGTAACCGTACTCGTCGAACTCGACAAAGAGTTCGACCTGCAACCTAACCCATGCATCGGTCCCGCATGCCCGGTAGTAGATTCATTCGCGAAGCAGCTGCTCTTGAGCTGTTAGGTCTCCTTCGGAGGCGCTCGGGCAGCTGTTAGTAAATCCCACCCCTTCTGGCTGAGCCTTTGCTCGCCCACCTGTCCTGGTGAAACTGGAAAGGCCTCCGGGCCACCAGTAATAATTCAATGATAAAAAAAAACCGTGAATGAAGTGTACCATAATAAGTTCGCACGTTACCGAATGACCGTGGGTTGTTGCGAAACCTCCAGTCATATTTTCTTTATACCTCGAATAGAACTTAAAATTAATCACACACAAATCTTGTTTTTTATTGCTTAGAGGAGTAGACGAGCTCACAGCTCACCTGGTGATAAGTGGTTACTGGAGCCTATAGACATCTACAACGTAAATGCGCCACCCACCTTGAGATATAAGTTCTAAGGTCTCAGTATAATTACAACGACTGCCTCACGACGCAAACCGAAACGCATTACTACTTCACAGCAGAAATAGGCGGGGTGGTGTTACCTACCCGTGCGGACTCACAAGAGTTCCTACCACTGATATTGCTGAGTTGTCGTGACGCTGATTGAGGAGGCACGAATCTCTCCTCGACGTAACCCCTTATGCCCAGGCTAAGAACTCTCTGCCCCACTGAACAGGGGTATTGCGATTGCGGACTAGGCCTTTTATTAGGACTCAAGGAGCGAAGACTTAATTGCAGTAGGCCTTCCTTGCCGAGACACTAAGAGATTCGCACTTATTCCTTCTGCCTTATTGACTTCCTTCATTATATTACGGTAAATGCTCCTAATTTATGCACGAGGAAAATTCCCTTTGAAGCGTATCAACGTCATCGAATAAGGATACAGTTTGGAACCGTTTCTTAGAACGTTTTCCTTCACGCTTACGTCAGATATATTATTAGATATTTCGTCAATTAGGAAATAATCGATAAATTTGACGCATCATTATACGTCTCCATCGACAGTTACTAGCACCGCTAGCTGACAGAATGTTGATATTTCTAACTTAATCTTTTCAGTATTATTATTACGTACTTATTACGTACAAGGGTGAACGAACTACACGGTGTAAAGTGATGACGATAGTCTAGATTTTCGAGATATGAGGACGACATCTATTGCACTAGTGCTTCGCGGCAGAAATAGGGTCTTCTAGCCTTATGATGTAACCTACCTTTGGGGGCTTATATTACAAACTACAAACATTAAAAAATATTGAGCCAAACTTTTTCTTTTTTTTTCTACGTATTCACTGGTAGCCTAAGAGGCTATTTCAGCTACACGCGGACAGGTAGATGAGCTCACGGGCTCAACCTGAGAGAATTTGCTAGCACTAGCCCTAGCAAGAGCAGTGCTTCGCAGTATCTACCACCGGATCGGAAACGTGACCCACTGAGAAGATCCGGCGAGAAATTCAGTGGGCTGTGTTTGTGGTTTATTTCGCTCGTCGAACTTTTCGGACTAATCGGCGAGTTCGACGAGGACAGTGACCGGTGCTTGAGAGTCCTAAAAACATCGAAAATGAATCCGAGGGATCCGACAAGACATGTTTCGAGCGACGGCGACTTTGCGTTTCCCCGTCGCGATCGGATAATTATACTATCTACTTATCTTGAACAAAGTAGCTATGTACTACAAATACGAGATTGTCTATGTAATACATACAAGCAGCGGCCGGCAACGTCGCGGCGAGCACTGTCAGTGTGAAATAATTTTAAACTTTATCTATATACTTAAAAGATCAGTATCGCTTGAAAAGTTTGAAGCGAGCAGCCGCGCGCCACGTGCGTCTTGTCGGTGGTTCTGCCCGCGGCTGCCAGCGGCGACACAAGGCCGCTCGCGGCACCGCGGTCATATGTAATAACCAATTCCATAATGTCCACTCCAAACAAACTAAACTAGTCAAGAGGAGACTAGGCGCGTGCAGTCTGGAGGCCGCGCGAGACCGCCAGCGACGACAGAGGGATCCGCTGGCATCGCTGCCGGCCGCTGCCATTCCGGTGTGACTCAGCCCTTACACTTTTACAATGTTCACAGTTACAACACTAGTTCAAGTTTCCTGCTCGTTACCTGTAGTAGGACGACGACGGGCGGCAGGGGTAGGGCCCGCAGCTGGCTGAGCGCGGTGAGCAGCTGCTGCGGCGAGTACTGCGCCGGCGACAGCACCGCCACCAGCGACCGGCACCGAGCCGCCTCGCCCACCAGCTCGCTGTACCCTGCACGCACAGTACACTGCCCTTCAGACTTATACATACCGGATGCCAGTCTTTATTAGCTTCGGACGTATGTACGTTTGTAACGGAATCTTTGAACATGATTTTGACCCCCCTCAAAACATCGGATTAAGTCGAAATTATTAAGGTACGATGAAAATTCAAAATAAAAAAAAATGAAAAAAATATTGAAAAAATTCAAATTCAACTAAAAATGAAAAATAAATAACAGTTTAAAAAAACGAACAAAATACGCTCTTATAGAACATCCAATTAAAAAATAGTTTTTTTTTTACAATAAAATCATTTTTCTTACACTAATTTTTATTAAAATTTATTAAAATTTATTTTCTAATTTTTAGTTGGATTTTCTATAAAAGCGTATTTTGTTCGTTTTTTTAAACTATTATTTATTTTAACCACATATTGCGCGAATCTACAACTGTCCACCAATAAATACCAATCGTATGATAATTGGAAGAAAAATAAAATTATATTCGATTCGGAATTAACAAGATTCTCGCATATGTGTAACGCGTAATATCCTGGATCTTAAATTAATGAAAATTTCACGACGCCAAAGTTTCTAAAAGTCCTGCTTCAATTTTAACCACCAAACTTCGATAGGTGATGAAATTATTTAATGGAAATTAGACATTAAGGTCTAAGTTAATATTATAGTACAGCCAGCCAGTTGTTATAAAAAAACAATTCAATAAAATCATACAAGTAACAAGTACAAAAAAAAAGTTCCAGTTGAATTAAATCCCCTTGCCTTTTCAATTCCTATATTTTTTTCTATTAGACATGCACAGAGTTTTTCAAGGTTTTTTTTTGGCTTTATAGGCAAAGGGATACGGAATAAACAATGCTCGATGCACAACCCCGTTAACGCTATAGTAGTGATGTATGTACACGTGCACTAACAGAGGTCAGGTTGCGTGGAGAGCTGCAGCGCGTGCACGCGGTAGTGGTACTTGAGCACGAGCGTCGGGAGGAGCGCGCCCCGGACCAGCTCCGCGTCCACCGCCGTCCAGCAGACCAGCACGTCGAACTCCTTCTCCAGTACTACACACAGACACTAATTTATAATTTGGTGACTACTTTTACTATGTCTACGAAATGAGAGAGAGAATACACTTTTTTCCCTGCCTAAGCTGAGAGCCTTGAGAGGCTATTTCAGCGTAACCTTAACTACTAGGTGAGCTCACGGGGCTCCAACCTGACGAATACACTTTAGGGCACACAAAAAAAAACTTAACATTTAAAAAAAAACAGTCCAGGAAAGCGATCTCTTCCAGACAACCGTTTAATTTACAAAAATTCTGGAAAATATAATAATATAGCCGGTATGTTGCGGTGCACTATTGGCAATATTATAATAGAAAAAAAATAAAAAAATATATATTTATACAATAGATACATACTAATGATTACTAAATAAAATAAATTTAATTAACAAGATTTTATTACTTAATGAGTCAATCGCGGCACCTTTGTGAGGCGCCAAGTTTTACATTCAAAATTTTTATCTTAATATTATTGTACCCAGAGTGTTGTAGTTAAGTAAACAACTTTTAATCATATCTTTTCCTTTGTGTGCCGTCAAATTTTGCAATCGCCAAAGTGAGCCGCAACAAGAAAAGCTTGAGAATCACTGACTTCATTCCTTAAATAACAGTCACAATACTCAAATAAAATTCAACGTAATCAGCTTAGAGCAAATAAATATTAGCATGTTACAGTCACAAGTACACATAACTGCGAGAGAGCGTGTGAAACATAATGTGACGCAGGTCCTTAGAGCGTGACAACCCTAGTCAATTTGCATCGCTACGGTTAGGGTTTGCAATGCTCAGTTTTTTTTTCAAACTACTGCTTTTATAGAGGATCACATTATGAGTCGATCTATCTAAAATTTTGAAGTAACTAGCTGACCCGGCAGACTTGGTAGTGCCTCAATCGATAAATAAAAGACTTAAACTTTTGTATTAAATAAACTTAAAACAAACAAAAGGAATCCGTCCGACGAGGGACAACATCAGAGGAAAAACATTTTTTTTTTTTATTTAATTCCAAGGGTTTACATATTTATCTACCTTTTAAACCTTCTCTGAACTTCCACAAATAAGTCAAGACCAAAATTAGCCAAATTGGTCCAGCCGTTCTCGAGTTTTAGCGAGACTAACGAACAGCAATTCATTTATACACATATAAGAAGAAGTATAATGCCTTAATTGAATCAATCAATATGTTTTAATGTGGATACCTCTAGCAGTGTGTGCAGTGGTCTGCGCTCTGGCCCGTGCGTGTCTCACAGCAAGCAGTAGTCGTGGCGTGCAGCGGCGGTGCAAGGCGACCATGGTCAGCAGCAGCAGTGCACCCCCCGCGCCACCCGCCGCCAGCACCCGCCACGGTACCTGAGATCCGCCGCACCACCCGTTCTCGGCACCACCGGGAGCGTCTGCACGACAAACATACTTTTATATCAACTAGAATCGCTTGTGACCCGGGTAGCAAAGTTCTAGCCGATATATTTTTTATTTATATTTTATTGCTTAGATGGGTGGATGAGCTCACAGCCCACCTGGTGTTAAGTGGTTACTGGAACCCATAGACATCTACAACGTAAATGCGCCACCCACCTTGAGATATAAGTTGTATGGTCTCAAGTATAGTTTTACAACGGCTGCCCCCACCCTTCAAACCGAAACACATTACTGCTTCACGGCAGAAATAGGCAGGGTGGTGGAACCTACCCGTGCGGACTCACATAAGGTCCTACCACCAGTAAAATTGATATTGGGATATTTTACCAGCCTTAGCGGTAAGCGCGACGAACTACTTTTGTATTATAGCCGTCTATTCTTATAGAGTAGTAGGAATGTGGCATATACGGACTGTAGCTTATTTCTTTACAACTTGATATTTATTCGACTAATTTAGGAGCGACGAAATTAAAGCATTTAGCCGATTATCTGGTTTTTTTTTATTTGCCTTAGTCGAAAATGAAACTTAGCAGCAGTGTACATTAATGTGTCTGTTCCTTTGACCTTAATCAACGGATACAGTTAGAAATTCAATTTGGTTAAATCAATTTCTAATGAAATTTAAAATAAATGAATTATTGACGGTTTCCGAATTAACAAGAGAGGCGTGTGCAAGTTGCATTCCCTCTACTCTTGCAAGTGCATAAGAAAAAACTTATTGAAAAATAGAGTTGTTTGTAATAAGGTAGTAGTTAGCCTTCTGTTTATGAAGTTTAAAACCTTAAATGATAAAAAATATTGTTTTTTTTTTGTAATCGGTTCTCACAAACACAAGCCGACCCACGCTGAGTGTCAGTTTTCAACTCTTCCACGTAAAATACACCTCACATTACATGTTTGTCATTAATGTGTTTTTTTTTAAATTATTTGTTGTTATTGTTATGTTATTTGTTGTTTGGGGAGATTTTTTATGTTTGAGAGATTACTGGTGACCCGGAGACCTTCCCAGTTTTACCAGGGCAGGTGGGCGTGGCGAGCAAGGGCTCAGCCAGGAGGGTTGGGATTTTCTAACAGCTACCCGAGCGCCTCCAAAGGAGACCTAACAACTCAAGAGAAGCCACTTTGCAAATGAATCTACTACTAGCCGGCGAGAAACACAGCGGGCTGATGTTTAGGTTCGACACGAGTACGGTTATCGGGGTCCCTACTCCTAGTATTAGAGCGGAAGGCGTATAATGCAAGGATTATTGGATCTGATGGATCCGTAAGGACGTGTTTAGGGCGTCGATAGCGGCGGCAACGAAAAGGCGATTATCATTACGCACAGCCTTATTGAAGTCTGTTGGGGATACTAAATCAAGTAAAGGAATACATAACAACTGAGTAGTTAAAACTTTCATTATTAAATAGAGTTCAGCAAGAAGAACAAAAAAACCATAATAATATGATGATTGGTTTCAATCGATTCAATGCTTCGATTTTCGTCCATCAAATATTTACACGCATCAATTTTCGTTGAAGTCATAACAAAATCGGGTGGCATTTTATATATTACGATTTCAACTCGATTCTCGATCGAGCAATACAGTTTTCAACGTGCCATTTTAAAATGATGACGTATTACAAACAGCATTCGTTTTCGAAGCGTAGGTACGTCCCACCGTGGCGAGCGCACAGAATAGACAATCGTTTAGAACTTCCACAGGAAGCGTTCGAAAATGATTATATTTTATGGTTACTCGATTCGAAAACCGGTAGTAAATCTAATTTATAAGCATATCATAAAGTTATTGTTAGACGTATGGGCACGTACACCGGTCACGTAGTTCGGAAGTGGACGAGCGATTCTATGTATTCACGCCTGGCTGTATAAAGTATGATTCCGCGAAAGTATATATTATTTCGTATCTCAAAATCAAGTTTCATTCAAAACGGAACTCGGCTCAAGAACTTTGTGTTTTTTATAAAATAAAATTAAAAAGCTATTGGAATTATTTTTTTAGTTAACCGAATACTTTTAGAGATGGTAAAGATTGCGAAAGAAGTTCAGTGTAACAATTTTTTTTTAAGGGATTTTATGACGTGGTACCTAAGACCTTTAGGTCTAGTCTTATTTTAAATTTAATGAAAACTGCACTATCACTTTTTTATATATGAAAAATGATAATATGAAGCGAAATGAAACGAAGTTGATTAATGTGAAACATTGCAATGGCATGAAATGAAATAAAATGAGATGAGATGAGATGATATGGGATGAAATATAATCTCAGTAAAGTGGTGGTTCTTTATGAAGAATTTTTCAGTGGACTTTTCGGAGGATCTAGAAAAGTTACGTCCAGCGGCTTTGTTTTATTTTCCCTCATTTGTGCACTTTCACACACACATACTAAACAGATAATAAACCTTCGATTGTTGATCGAAGTAATAAACCACCGTTATTACACATTTGAACCTGAAGAAACACCAAATAGACAAAATAAAACAAATCACACAACTTCACTCCTCGCGTTGCCTCCAAAAAGTCTCAGTATAACTAAGAAAAGTCAGGAATAAGACACGTCGACACGTTTTAAAGGTACCAGAGATAATCACCAAACCTCTAGGTCGGCTCCGTGTATCAAAATGTATCAACAAATTTGTGGGAAATTTCATACGATTCTTTAAAAACAGAATTCACACGTCGATTGGATTGTACCTAGTCAGGTCATAAGTATTGTCACACAGTAAAAACTTTTCTTTTAGAATGCTGGCCACAAAAAAGTTTATTGAATTCGAATTTCGAATTGTTCATGAAAATAAAAATTTATACTTTTAGAATTTTACTCATTTTTAAATATGGAGTGGACGCTTAAAGAAGACCGTGTTGCAGTTATTGCGTTGCATCGATGCGGTTACGCGCCAATTCAAATTTTTAACATACTGAAAATTTTGAATATAACCAAAAGATTCGTTTATCGTACCATCAAACGATACAATGAAGACTCTAGTGTAGATGACAGGTCAAGAAGTGGTCGTCCTCGGTCTGTTAGGACTCCAGCAGTGATAAAAGCTGTGTAGGCGCGAATTCAAAGAAATCCCAAACGTAAGCAGAAACTGTTGGCCCTTCAGATGGGGTTAAGCAGAACCACGGTGAAAAGGGTGTTAAATGAAGACTTAGGGCTTCGGGCATATCGAAGAAAAACAGGACATCGTTTGAATGCTCGTCTAATGGACCTGAGACTGAAGAGATGCCGCGCTTTGTTGAAGCGCTACGCGGGAAAAAAATATCGGGAAATTCTTTTTTCGGATGAAAAAATTTTTACCGTAGAAGAGAGCTACAACAAACAAAATGATAAAGTGTACGCACACAGTAGTGAAGAAGCGAGCAACCGTATTCCGCGTGTCCAACGAGGTCATTTTCCATCCTCGCTCATGGTATGGTTGGGAGTTTCTTATTGGGGCTTAACAGAGGTACATTTTTGTGAGAAAGGTGTAAAAACGAATGCAGTTGTGTATCAAAATACAGTCCTGACGAACCTTGTGGAACCTGTTTCTCATACCATGTTCAATAACAGGCACTTGGTATTCCAACAAGATTCGGTGCCAGCTCATAGAGCGAAGAGCACACAAGACTGGCTGGCGACGCGTGAAATCGACTTCATCCGGCACGAAGACTGGCCCTCCTCCAGTCCAGATTTGAATCCGTTAGATTACAAGATATGGCAACACTTGGAGGAAAAGGCGTGCTCAAAGCCTCATCCCAATTTGGAGTCACTCAAGACATCCTTGATTAAGGCAGCCGCCGATATTGACATGGACCTCGTTCGTGCTGCGATAGACGACTGGCCGTGCAGATTGAAGGCCTGTATTCAAAATCACGGAGGTCATTTTGAATAAACTTTAGTGTCATAAGAATCTATGTTTTGTTAAGTTCATTTTGGTATATGAATGGTTACATAATGAATAAACTTGTTTCAATTATTTTACATTAAACATGTGACAGAATTTATGACCTGACTAGGTATTTATTTTAACAGTGTTAGTTCAAAACTTTTTTGTAGGTGAACCAATTTTAATGTTTTTTTTTTAACCGGAGTGCTTCTGCTTTGGTCCTGTGTTATCAAGACCTGACCAGCAGTTTTTGTGTTAACCCTATCTGAATTACAAATTGAAATCAATTAAAACCTTGGAAGGGAGCTTAACATCCGAAAAAGGCTCTGTCATCTGCTGGGAACCTGGTCTCCCAGACATGAATTAGAAAAGCTCATCATTGCGGGTCACATAGAGGACAAGCGCGCCGTGGGCAGAACACCAATCAGATGGTCAGATCTAGTAAGAGAAGCACTTGGTGGTAGTCTGTACCATGTGGTCCATGCCACCCATGACCGAATAATGTGGAGGCACGTCACACGTGGTCGCAATCCTCAGCAGACAGGGAATAATGTAGAAGAGAAAACCTTAGGTCTAGTCATTTCATAAATTGATCTTGAACTATTGTTCTCGTACGTTCTGGTCGTTATAAATACTAACAGCAACATCAATGTGTTCTATGGTAAAATAAACGATTTGAGTATGAGGAGCATGACAAGTTATTTTTTTTAATAATTTTATTGCCTTTTTTTAATTATTGCCCTCGTAGGCAGACGAGCATACGGCCCACCTGATGGTGAGTGGTTACCGTCGCCCATGGACTTCAGCAATTCCAGGGGCAGAGCCAAGTTACTGCCTACCAATCCAAGCCGCTGCCTACCGTGCCGTTTGCTATTATGATGCTATTACTCCACCAAGACTACAACCTCCAATCTCAAGGGTCAGTGGGCGTTGACTGAGCACACCGTGGGCAGTGAGATCGTTTATTTATCTAAACAATCATATACAATACATCTACAACTAAATGAAATAATAAAATACAGATACACAATAAATATCGTTCGCCTTAAACCCGTTCGTTTAGGTTGACTCGAAACTAAGTTTACGCTGCAACCGAAACTATGTTTTGGTTCAATTGTTCGTTTTTAAAAAAATACAGAAATATAAGTACACCATACATGTAGTCGTCGTGGCCTAAAGGATAAGACGTCCGGTGCATTTGTATGTAGCGATGCAACGGTTTTCGAATTGACTTCCACGGTGAAGGAATTACATCGTGTAATAAAAATGAAACCCGCAAAATTATAAATTGCGTAATTACTGGTGGTAGGACCTCTTGTGAGTCTGCACGGGTAGGTACCACCATCTTGCCTATTTCTGCCGTGAAGCAATAGTGCTATAATGAAGGATAGGGCAGCCGTTGTAACTATACTGAGATCTTAGAACTTACATCTCAAGGTGGGTGGCGCATTAACGTTGTAAATATCTATGGGCTCCAGTAACCACTTAACACCAGGTGGGTTGTGAGCTCGTTCACCCATCTAAGCAATAAAAAAACATAAATGAATAAATAAATAAACATTTTTGTTTAAAGTGATTCGCTGGACGGTACTCACGTGTGTAATGTATCGTTACGTAGCTCCGGGATTCGACGTCGTTGCTGTGGATCAGGCACACGTACATCCCGTAGTCCTGGGCCGCCACGCGCTCGTTAATCAAATACGAACCGATTATATCCTGTACGTCGTCGCTGCGAAAGCAATATTAATTATTATGAGTTAATTAATTCTGTCGTTTAGAACAGTGTGCTTAGTGCGAGTATCTTAACGTTCTCGATAGCGTAAAAGTTAAACCAACTTTGTAATGCAATTGGAACAGCGCCTCTAGCGGCAAACGTACGCAAATGATTCTAATCCCATACAAACATGAGCTCTCTGGTCGGCTTGAGATGATAGAGCAAAGGGATCTGTTTTTTTCTAGCGAGGTAATACAGATCCACCTAACACCCCCCCCCCCCCAAATGATACTTCAACTGGACGCTTCATAAGCGCGCACCTCAAACATTGAGGTCTTCTCGCTCGTTCAATAAACCAAGTCTTTTTTTCCCTACCTATCCTGATAGCCTTCAGAGGCTATTTCAGATTCGCCTTAACGTGTAGGTGAGCTCCCGGGGCTCAAACCGAAAGTGTTGCTAACACTGGCCCTATCAAGAGCAATGCTTGGCTGAATCTACCACCGGGTCGGAAACGCAACCCACTGAGAAGATCCGGCAAAAACTCAGTGGGCTGTGTCTATGGGTTAATTTACTCGTCGAACCCTTCGTCGCAAGCGACGGGTTCAGCGAGGACGGTGACCGGTGTTTGAGGTACCTAAAAGCACCGTTAATGGATCGGGAGGATCCGTAATGACGTATTACTAACTCTAAGCGCAACTCGAGACCTATATTAGCTGAACGATAGGAAATGACAAACGGCGCTAATATCAATGTGTCCAATGAAAATTTCGAAAACAACTATCACCAAATAATGACCAAAAAAAACGGTAGAATCAATTTTCTCGGTGCTCCGTTTATTTATAAAGGGCGTCACACGCGGCGAAGATACATAATTATATATTATCTTAAGCATGTGCGATAGTTCATACAAAATGTATAGCGAGCGATATTGTATGTTAAGATAAAATATTATAGTATCTTCACCGTGTGTGACGCCCTTTACAGTCACACAACAAATATATTACTATATACAAGTAACTGTATACAGTTGAGAATATCGACCTAGTATCTTAATGTGAGCAGGGCGGCATTTAGTTTCTTACATTTATGGGCCGCAGTGATCAATTTAAACTAGAAGCACAACAGTAAGCTTGTTTACATATTTAAGCTATGAATTTTAAAATACAAAAAAACTCACCGGGAGGTTTTGATTTCGGTTTGCGTGGGAGGCACGTCTCCCTCGGTGCCGTTCGACCAGACCTTCCTCCAGCGGAGGTCGCTTCGGGCATCTGCTAAATTCGAACGACCTACGCGACAATAAATATCAATTTGTTACATCCAGAATGCGAAAAATACGAATAAGCACTACTAACTGTGATCAGTAAGACATTACCTAACTAAGACATTAATTAACCCATAGATAATACACATAAACTAGTTCTGGATAAGCAACTCAAGCACTCAACAAAAATGTTTACGGGCATCGGCCACTAGATGGCTTCGCTTCGATTATTTCCTTATTAAAACTTTTAAACTATAATTTCAATTCATTATAGTCGAATTTCGACTACTGCAGGGCCATTAGTTACATTAAATGTTTGTGACATATTGGCACATAATATTATAGCACTATACCAATAAGCTGTATATATACTGTCGTCTAAAGAGCTGGTATAGAAACTAGGGTATACAAAGTGGACGTAGAGTGCTATAGTCAAAATTCATTATTCCAAAATGTGAACATTTAAGTAAGTTTTCTTATTAAGCCCATACTGAATGAATGGCATTTCAATCCAGCTTAATCTGATTATTCCATTGCCTTTGTAGGCTGACGAGCATACGACCCACTTAATGGTGAGTGGTTCATGAACATGAGGTGGCTCATGAGCATCAGCAACGCCAGTGGTACAGCCAAGCCACTATCTACCTCTAAGCACTCTCCGTAACCCTCATTTGAAGAGGGACATATCATAGCGCTCAGGAGGCACCGAGAAGGAAAATTTATGAAAATATCCCGTATTAAAATTATCGTTATTCGTCTAAATCATTTTTAATTAAAACATTAACGTAACAGTCACATTGCGATAACGTTAAATTGGTTTTTATAAAAGGTGAAATAAGTAATTTTCAATTTAATATTTGCTTCCCACGTCACTTACGTCATTTAATTCGAACAGTATTTATTATTAGTGCCTTGAAGACGTTACGGCGTACCCGATGGTGTGTTATCACCATCAGAACGGCTGCGTAAAGCTTTAATCACATTCACGTACCAACCGACGTATCCCATATACGTAAAAATGTTTTATATCTATAACATAGATACGCTTCATACGTGTCTCCACTTAGAAGCGCTTCGCAGGATACGCTCCATGTGTGTCTCCACTTACTTATAAGCGCTTCGCAGGATACGCTCCATGTGTGTCTCCAATTACTTATGAGCGCTTCGTAGGATACGTTTCATGTGTGCCTCCACTTACCTATGAGCGCTTCGCAGTACAGGCGCAGATGCCCCCCCTCCTCCACCCACTGGTCTTTCGTAATGAACATTGTTCTCGGTGTGTCTGTCGATTTTTCTGCGAAACAATTACACGTTAAAGCAGTTTTCTTTGAATTTAATCGGTTACCAATAAATCCAACAGAGTCAGGGCTAATTGATTTAATAATAATTACTAAGTTCATTATTAAAATAATTATAGGAAATAGGTTATTTACGTCATCGCAAGTATTTTAAAGTACTTAATTTTTTTTTCCCTTTCCTACATATTTTTTTTATTTATTGCTTAGATGAGTGGACGAGCTCACAGCCCACCTGGTGTTAAGTGGTTACTGGAACCCATAGACATCTACAACGTAAATGCGCCACCCACCTTGAGATATAAGTTCTAAGGTCTCAATTATAGTTACAACGGCTGCCCCACCCTTCAAACCGAAACGCATTACTGCTTCACGGCAGAAATAGGCAGGGTGGTGGTACCTACCCGTGCGGACTCACAAGAGGTCCTACCACCAGTAATTACGTAAATTATAATTTTTCGGGTTTCATTTTTATTACACGATGTTATTCCTTCACCGTGGAAGTCAATCGTGAACATTTGTTGAGTACGTATTTCATTAGAAAAATTGGTACCCGCCTGAGATTCGAATACCGGTGCATCGCTCAACACGATTGCACCGGACGTCTTATCCGTTAGGCCACGACGATTTCAAAAGCGTAGTATAGTTACGTTTTTTTTTGGTCACTATCAATAACGTAAATGCCGCCACCCACCTTGGAACATGAGTTCTAAGTCTCAGTTTTACAGTACAATGGCTGTCCACCCTTCAAGAAAACACTACACGATCAAGTTGAAACTTGATACGCTCACGGTTGGCACTTCGAGGAAGCTTTTTGTCATAATAACATCAACGTGCGATTAGTTTCGATAATATTGTCGCACATTAGAAATTCGCAATAAAATTCACTGTAACAGTACGAATGGTCACTGTAGTTATTGATGTCTATGGAGGCCGGTAACTATGTACGTAACACCAGGCTGCCGGTGAGATCGTCCACCTATCTACGCAATCAAAAAACAATCTACGGCTATTAAAAGAACCAACGGACATATGGGCGCAAATTATTATATAGTTTAGTTTATTCTATGTTAATATTTATTTATTATTAGCAGCATAAAACTGTTATTCTACCATATTTAATAATTAGCAGACACTGTTTTGTTGTGAAAATGTTCAGAATATGTTTAATGTTTATATTACTGTTTAAAAACACAAATGACTGTATTAATGATCAAATATGAATAAACCATAAATATTAATAATAATAATTTATATTATAATTAAGAGTACTAATAATTTAATTAAGTATTGTAATTGTTATGCAATGATGTTATTGGCGCCATATATTATTAGGCTGGATAATAACAATGTTAGTTAATATTACTTAAAAGTAATTCATGTAAAATAAATTAAATGTCAGTCATGTAAAAATGACTAAAATATGTATTGTGAATATTAAGCTATATTTTGTGAATTGTTTCGCAGTAATTACATTTGTTTGTATAAAAGAAGTTGTAGTTGCTATAACCATCACAAAATGGCTAATTGTGTAAGAACTAAGACGTAGCTTTATGTAATATTAACGGCCGTCTGGTGTAGTGGTAAGTGACATGGTCACTACATAATGGGGTCGCGGGTTCGAATCCCGCCAAGGGAAGATATTTGTATGATAAATATAAATGTCTTTTCCTGGGTTATCGATGTATATTAAATATATGTATGTGTATAATAAAAATCTTACATTTATTTCCGTTATCTGGTACCTGTAACACAAGTTCTTTACGAACTTATCACGGGACCAGTTAACGTGGCGTGGTTGTTAGTAAATATTTATTTATTATTATTAATAAAATATTAATGTTCAAGTTTTATAGAATTGTATTGTATTTTCATTGTAAAAGACCTTACTATGTGAAAACTCTGGCTTAACGCCGACAGACACGTACCTAGTATATCGAGCCTGACCGTGTGCGTCTGTATGTGGGTTTCGTTGCTGAGTCGGCAGGTGTAGTTGCCAGAGTCTGCGCGCGATGCCCGCCGTGTGTAAAGCGTCTGATTTGCAGCTTCCGGATACAGGATGAGATTCGATACGCCGGCCGACCACGGATACGCGACACCGTCTTTGAACCTGACAAACAAAAAAACAATATTCATTTACGCTTGAATCTTAAATTTCAACAATTACCGTGCCACGCAAAAGTGTTGGGAAAAATATATAAGCGAGGAGACTTTATTGGATATATTTATGTTTTTTTTTATTGCTTTGATGGATGGACGAGCTCACAGCCCACCTGGTGTTAAGTGGTTACTGGAGCCCATAGACATCTACGACGTAAATGCGCCACCCACCTTGAGATATAAGTTCTAAGGTCTTAGTATAGTTACAGCGGCTGCCCCACCCTTCAAACCGAAACGCATTACTGCTTCACGGCAGAAATAAGCGGGGTGGTGGTGCCTACCCACGCGGACTCACAAAAGGTTCTACCACCAGTGTTTTAGTCCTAGAGTACCCCGCTGGTACATAGGACCCTCACAAGTTGTCTCCACTTGACCCTGTATTGGGCTTGCTCCTTGACATCACTCCAGGTCACGTTGGCAGTCCTCATCTCACGCTCCACGGTGCGTCACCAAGTATGTACAGGACGACCAGGTCTTCTCCTGCCTAACGGTTGCCACTCAAACGCGATTGATGCTGCGTTGACTCCGCTGCGCCATAGACTGTGTCCTATCCAACGCTATTTCCGATAGGCAATGTCTTGCGCGATAGGGTTTTGGTCACATTTAGTCCATTAGCGGATATATTTATACTAGTTTATAAAAATTGCGTATCGAATTAGGAACTACCTCCGCCTTTCGAATTTGAAACAGTTTGAAATTAAGATTATTTAGGAGGATTATTAAAATGGATGTTCCAAATTTACATTAGTCTTCAGAAGCGACTTTGCCGCTTGATTAGTGAATTTAAGCGAATCTCTTGAATATTTATGAATCAGAAACTAAACATCACAATGTCTGTCTGTTTCAAAATGAACCAACACTCGCTAAAGTGTAGCATGAAGTTCTGACTAAGTTTTCATAGCAAATTTGTTTTTTTTACTATAACAGATTATTCGGAGTAGATTACTTTAGAGTGGTTTAAAGAGCACGAATACCACTGTTGTGGCCAGTATTACCAACACATACCAGAAGTTTCAACTGGATATAACCAAACATGGGCCTTCTAAGCTGCTGCAACCCCAGAATATAAAAAAAATAAGGGAACCCTTGGCTCCCATCAGTCACATGGACTTAGTCTGGTGTTCCTTAGTCACAGCTTGGAACTGTATGCTTTTTGTTATCCTACAAAATTAAAACTGTTTAAAGGAAAACAAATTTTCATAACCCGAATATGCCCTCCGAAAAAGTGTCATGACTACGAATATTAGTCAACTCGTCGAGACGTGTGAAAACTTGTCTAAACACTGATCCATAAGATATGGTAATAAATTCTAAACTGTAACTTGATTGTAACGTCTCACTTACTGTTTGTTAAAGCTAAATTTCGTTAAATTACCCTCAAAAAGATGACGAACATCAATAACGTATTATATCTATACTATATAATAATAATAATTATAAAGAGGAAAGATTTGTTTATTTGTTTGTATTGAATAGGCTCCGAAACTACTCAACCGATTTGAAAAATTATTTCACTGTTTGGAAGCTACACTATTCCCGAGTGACATAGGCTATAATCTTTTCTGAAAAAATTTGGGATCCTTACTAAAAATCCAATAGTGTAAAACAACCAAAGGTGTAAAAAAATTACCTAAAATATTCTTTACATCGCGTGCCCTGCGAAAAATATTGTTGATAGAATAAAATAATGAACTACGACTTTGTAGAACACATTATTATTTACAAGTGTCGCGACACCATATGTCGAACTATTATAGTTATGCCGCAATATGTGTTCTTTTATTTAAAAAAAATAGAAACAACGTCAAATATCGTTGAAATTTTAGTCAAAGACCTAAGCGGAGCCGGAGCGGGCCGCTAATTAACTAATATTAAGCTAACGGTTTACATGTTTGAATTTGCATTCGTTCTAGAACGTTTGAGAGACTTAAATCATTTAATTACTTAAATAAACTTGCCGCGTTACTCGAATAAAATCCGGATGTTTTCATTTGTAGGAAATTATTTCCAGTAAGGACTAATGTGGAGTCATTACTGAGTGTAATGCAGCTGTCGGTGACAAGCGTACTTCTCGGAACGTCACGATTGCGGTCAGCATTATACGAGGAAACTGCAGTCCGGAGATCTACGATTGATCGTCGAACGGATACTATGTATAACGTGAGCATTAATTTTTTTTTGTCATCTGCGAAACATCAGCGAAATTATATAATAAAAAAAGTATTTAGTGCCTTACAAGTATGTATGTTCTTTTACAAGGTAGAATAACACAAAAGAATCAAAGCACTAAACACAAAATAGTTAGTACTCTGTAATTAGTCTGTACCTCTTTTGTTAGATTAGCCCATTTAAACACTTCTAGCTCTATATTGAATTTAAAAATAAATTTATCGTTTGGCCTGTTTGTAAAAGCGGAACTATGTCGGCCTCACTGGGGACAGCGGGACAGAATGCCCGAAAGCGGGACTGTCCCGCCCAATTCGGGACGTATGGTCACATTAACTATGTACAACGAGAACGCACGCGACACGCCAACACAACTAGCAGTCACTGCGTTTTCAGTAACCGAAACATTTTTTTTTATTTATTGCTTAGATGGTTGGACGAGCTCACAGCCCACCTGGTGTTAAGTGGTTACTGGAGCCCATAGACATCCACGACGTAAATGCGCCACCCACCTTGAGATATAAGTTCTAAGGTCTCAGGTATAGTTACAACGGCCGCGCCCCACCCTTCAAACCAAATTCAAATTTCCGTCAATATTTAGATTTTCAGTTCGTTTTGATACAAATTCAACACACAGCTGTAATTCGTTCGGCGGAACACGTTAGCCCAAACAAAACGTCGCGCAAGGATGATTCCCGCGAACAGTAAAAATTTTGCTGGAACCGTTTTTGAATCGTACGAAAGGAAAACAAACACGTGAGCGATGTTTCATCGCAAGGCCGCCCTGGAATTGTTTCCTAGAAGCAAACGATATGTTATTATATCTGGTGAATATTCTCAGTCAGCACGTCTCACGTTAAGTACTTATGCTAGTTGGTCGTTTCACACATTCGTGTTTACGACATAATATATTATAGGTATATCCGAAAAAGAAAAAAAAAACTAAGTTTCTTGATTGCAAAAATAAATAATAGTTTAAAAAACTAACAAAATACGCTTTTATAGAAAATTCAACTAAAATAAAAAATAAATTTTAATAAATTCGAATTCAAAATAGTTTAAGAAAAAATGATTTTATTGTAAAAAAGCATGGGGTACTTTTCAGGATATTATCAAAATAACCCTTCTACTCATATCTGTTCATAAAATATTCATAACTACTGATGCCACGCACCCCACGCTTAGTTAATCCGACGTCTTGAAGGGGGTCAAAATCATGTTCAAAGATTCCGTTACAAACATATATACGTCTGAAGCTAATAAAAGCGTATTAAAAATAAACTACTTGACGCTTATCTAAAAGTCAATACTTAAGTCTTAATAATTAACATAGTAACGTCGCGTATTTCGTGTATTTTATTTTATTGATCATTTTCCGGTGAAAATTCGTAATTTACCTACACTCTGACGGTATTAATCTAATGTAGCATACCTAGCAGAGTGCGTGGGTAAAATGTAGATAATATGTACGTACGTACATCATTGCTGTGATTTTTATTTGCGTTAGATTCATGTCAATTTCCGAGAAAACGTATAAAGAAGTGTGTTTACCGACTTGATACCACTTTCCAGTGTCCCTGGGAGACCGTTGCTAATATTTATAACATTTTTTCGAAGAAATGATTCACAGCCAACTATTTCGGAATGACGTAATTGAACTAGATCAAAGTAGGGGTTATTTCAACAAGGATTATACATCTATTTCGACACTTATTAATAATAAGCTATGGTATTTTATCGAGTTACATAAATTAGGTTTATCAAAATTGTTTGTAGTGTTCTTAAATAAGTGTTTTACACAATACTGGATAATACTTGACAATATTATATCATAGATTCATAAACGATAAACTATATTATTATTATTATTATTTGTAGTATCATCATCATCATCATTATCTCAGTCTGTCTACTGTTCACGTCTGAACATAGGCCTCTCCAACTGATGTCCAGTGCGGACGGTTCGTTGCCACCTGCATCCAACGTGACCCAGCAATTTTCACCAGGTTGTCGGTCCATCTGGTAGATGGCCGTCCCACACTGCGTTTGCCAGTACGTGGTCCCCACTCGAGGATATTTCTGCCCCATTGGCGGTCCGATCTTTGCGCTATGTGACCTGTCCACTGCCACTTCAGCTTGCTAATCCTACGGACTATGTGAGCAACTTTGGTTCTTCTACGGATCTCTTCATTTCTAATTCGATCTCGTAGAGAAATACCAAGCATAGCCCTCTCCAAAGCTCGCTGCGAGACACTAAGCTTCCTAAAAAGATCCCTTATGAAGCACCACGTCTCGGAACCGTAAGTCATCACTGGCAACACACATTGGTTGTACACCTTTGTCTTCAGGTACTGAGGGATTTTGGACGAGAACACATATCTTAATTTACCGAACGCTGCCCAGCCGAGTTGGATCAGCCTACTGACCATATGTTGTATATTGAATACAATTGATTACACGAGACATCCTTCTCAATTCAAAACGTTTGAAATTGTTAAGTTACATTGAGATTCTACTAATACATATTTTTTTCGACTGACACTAGTTAAAATTATCAGGTCTACCAGTTCTTTTTAACGATTTCGCTGACCTCGGTCGTCCATATTGAATACTTGTAAGTACTTTTGTACTTGTAACGTTATGTGAATTATTAGTAATTTTCTGTTTTTATTTGGATATAATCATAATTTGGAGTTCAGTAATCACATTGAAATTTTCTGTTTTTTTGCCTATATCTATGGTAAAGCAATCTTACCACGCACAGAAGTCATATTAGCCGGTCAA